TACCCTCTGCTTATCAAGAATCTGTCTGTGCCTTAGAAATATTCAAGGACTCTGCTTCTGCTACCTTTTGAGAGTTCCAAAATCTTACAACCCTCAACATAATTTACCTTTGTCTCTGCCTTGAATAGATGACTCCTTTTGAAAATGATCCCTAGTTCTAAATTTACCCACAACAGAAAACACCCTTTCCACATGTAACTTGTCAAGACCCTGCAGGATTCAATCAAGTCACCTCTTGGACTTCAAAACTCCAGTGAATTTAAGTCCAGTATGGTTAGTCTTTCCTAAAACATTTTCAGAATCCATTTTCAGAAATTAGCTTAGTAATCTCTCTCCAAAATGTTTTCAACATATCCACATCTTTTCTTAAAAGGTGACCAATACTGTGCAAAATACTCCAATTATGGTCTCACCAATGCCCTATATATCTGAAGCTAACCTCCCTACCTTTGTATTCAATTCCCCTCACAATAAATGACAACATTCTATTAACTTTACTAATTACCTGTTGTACCTGCATACTTAGCTTTGGTTATTCACACACCAGGACATCCAGATCCATCTGCATTGCTGAGCTCTGCACTCTCTCACCATTAAGATAATCTGCTTATTTTTTATTCTTCCTGGCAAAGTGGACAATTTCAAGTCCATTTGCTAAATATTTGTCCACCCAGTTATCCTAAACAAAAAGATACCTGCTGAAAGTCAAGGGACTTAAGCTAATCATTTGCACTCATTTGCTAAAGTCATGTCTTCAGTATGTTAGAAATCATGGCTATCAGGATTTATTGCTATTTTGGTATTGCTTGGGCGTTCAGTTAAGGTGTATCCTATGTCTTCAGTGTTAGAAATCATGGCTATCAGGATTTATTGCTATTTTGGTATTGCTTGGGCGTTCAGTTAAGGTGTATCCTATGTCTTCAGTATGTTAGAAATCATGGCTATCAGGATTTATTGCTATTTTGGTATTGCTTGGGCGTTCAGTTAAGGTGTATCCTATGGAGAGATAAGACATCAAACTCAACCTTTGCCACCTTCCTGGGACCCTCTTCAGAATCCTGGTAGGCCGTTGAGAAGAAACCGCTTTCTTCCTGAGAAGCTCGTCCATGATTTCCCCTGGACACGTGAATGAACTGCTTCTGTAGAGATCTTAATCATAACTGTGAATACCAAGTAATTTGTGCACCTGGACACCAGACTGAAAGCCAACCAGAACATTTTATATCTAATCCTGTTCCCTTAAAGAGTTAACAAGTATTTGGCTTAAAAACTTTTCTCCCCTGGCCCAACACCACCTCCGCGCCCCCTCCCTTCAAATTAATCGATAGAGTAAGTTTCTTTATTTTTCCTTTATATAGTGTGTGTGTCTGTGTGCACATGAATTTGGTGACTTCAATATTTAAACTGCTAATCAACTTTGCATATTTGCCAAATATATCTTGCTTAATAAATTGATTTCAAATAGAAACCTGGTTGATCTTTTTTATTCTGAACCTAAATATAGGCAAGGTAAATGACTGACATATTGACAATTGAATAAAACATTTAAATATTTATTGTGACAAATGGAATAGTGAGACTAGAGAGTGCATTTCTTCAATGGCCATAGTAGTTCCTTATGGCCTCTTCACAACTTACTTCCCTTAACTGTGTGCGTCTTCATTAAGTGGAGCAACCGTTCTTTCAATTTCCTCATCCACATAAATAAATTGTACAAAAGACAAAGCACTAGCAGTTAATCCTGTGACACACCACTCGTTATGTCTTGCCAACCAGAAAGACACCCATGCCTGCTTTCTCCTGTTAGCTAGCCAATCTTGTATCCACAATGATGTGTTACCCTTGACACAACTTCTAATTTCCACAATAAGCTTTGATGTGGTACGTTATCAAATGCCTCCTGAAAATCTCAGTACATCCACCAGTTCCCCTTTGTTATTCAGAGTACCTTACTTTTTCAAAGAATTCCAAATAAATTTTGCAAGAATATGTTCCCTTCCCTCCCATTGAAGAGGTTAGAAATCAGATTTTTGCAGGTAATTTGTTCAAAAGGGAGAGGGAGACATAGCATTGGCCATCATGATTGCACCAGCTGTTTGAAAGTGACACCCATTAAATTCCATGCCCACTTTTTCCCCCCCATAGAAGACTACAATGCAGGGCTATGTCTAAATGCATTCCTTCAAGTGTTATATGAACTACTGCATACTGTGTGAACATGCTTTGTGTTAAGGGTGGGGTAATATATTTAGAAAAGCACCATACTTAAAATCATTACAATTAGTTTTGGAAAAAAACTGCTTTACTGAAAATTAGATGCTGTAATACCACGTCACAGAAAAGCAAAATAATTCTTTCCCCTGGAGACAAAATAATGCAAATGCTGGAAATCCACAACAAAAACCAAGAATGCAGAAAAAAAATTGCAGCCTGTTTGCTGAGTTATAAGAGAATAACAGAGTTAACATTTCAGGCTAATGACCTTTTTCTATCTTGAGGAAAATTGAAATGTAATACATTTTAAATGCACAGGAAGGGCAAAGATGGAATAAATAAGATAGTCTGTAATGTAACAAAGTAGAAAGGCAACATCAAATTACAGAAAGGGTCAAGGACAATTCTCCCCTTATAAACTTCCCATATAACTAAATCTCAGGGCTTTTCATAAACGTAACTTACTACTACTCTTGATCATCTTGAATACGAACCACAACCACCTGTGTGGTCTAGTCTCCCTTGTCCAGCCAAGGGAGGTAAGGAAATCCTCAAGCAGTCCCTGATACAAAAGCCAGGATTCCAAAAAAAGGAATTTTAGACATACCTACCCTGGCAAAGGACAATTGGCAACTTAACGTTGGGAAAACAGCAACAAGTTCAACCTCTTCACAAATATTTTGGTGCAACATAAGTCCTTGGTCAAACTGCTGAGTAAAGGATTTGATCAGATAAAATGAACTGCAACAGAAGCCTAGAACAACTTAGTAACCATACAAAAAAGCTTCCTGCATATTTGTCAATCTGTTTGTTTAGTAGAGCAGTAATTCTAGCCTCAGTGAAGGTCTGATGTGATATTTTTTGCCTTAAAAAAGTCCTGACCCTGGATCTAAGTTTACAAACATTTTGGGGTAAAGGGAAGCCTGTAAAGGAGTGGGAACTTTTAAATGCGAGAGTTCCACCCAAAATCACTTTGACTCACATTTTCAGCAATCCTTTAAGCTGACTGATGATTGAATTTGTCTGGTCAGCATTGCCTAAAAAACTGGCCATGGTCCCAGGTCAAAGTTTGAGAAATTCCACTGGCTGCAGTGATTCGGGAAGATTCTTCAAATTGCACTTACTTGCTTAGGCACATTTCTAAAGGTCTTTTGTATAAAACAATTACTCAAACTGAGCAACATGCAGCATTCAAACTATTTGAAGGTTCAAGTCCTTCTCAACGTTATACTCATTATTCTCAGGACACTCCAATAAAAAACTCAATTTTAAACTCAATTAGTAGATTGCAAACTCGTAATTTCAAAGTATACTTTCTAATGCAAGTTTATTCCACTGCCTGATTGTGCTAAAGGAGTTTTTTAAACTGAGATTGTGCAAATATATTTTAGCAGAAACTTGAATTGCAATGTAAGCAGAATGTTTTGAGAAGCAATTGATAGTATCCAAAGGATAAATTCCACCCCATAATATTTACAATGCAGGTATTACTCCAAACTTGCCCTGTCAGCACAGATCAGTGCTACTGAGATGGTTGCTAAATGTCGAGTATTTTCATGGCAGCACTCAAAGAAACAGGGTCTTCCAGTGAAATCCCTAATCTGGTTACCTTTGAAGTTTCTTCCGTTAAAAAGCTTTGAATCACTTTGACCTTCACTGGAATAAATTGAAAGTTATCATTTTAAATGTTTAAGCTTTGACAACGTAATCTCAATCATTATATAATAGGAGGCAATGTAACCAACACAAGGCAATTAGCACAATACAATCGTGAATTCCATCCTCAGAGAAATTTATCTTCCTGTAGAATTACTGAAGAGGTACATGCTGTTCCATGCAGACATAAATCTAACATACATTGCTCCTGTTCACATATACACTTCAAATACCCAGCTCTACCTCATCATTACCTCACACATCACTTGACTTAACCGCCAACTCAGTTCATCTGCTGCTGAAACACCTCATTCTTGCGTTCATTAACTTCAGGGATAACTTCCAATACACTCTTAGCTGGTGTCCCATATTTGACCCTAGATAAACTTGAGCTCATCCCGTACCCGGTGATCCTGTCTTAATTCAAAGCAAGTACCATTCCCTAATCATCCCTCTGTTCACTGACCTATGTTGGCTTCCAGGTAAACAATGCCTTGATTTACATTCTCACTCTTGTTTCAGATCCCTCCCCAACTCTACAACCTCCCTCTTCCCCACATCCCAGATCTCTACACTCTAACTGTGACTTCTTGTGCATTTCCAAAATAATAATTGTCCTAGCAATGGTGGCCATACCTTCAGTTGCCTGGATTCCAAACTCTGGAATTCCCTTGTAACATTTCTCAGCCTTTCTACCTTGTTTTCCTCCTTTAAGACATTTCCTAAGATATACTCATCTGACCTACCTTTTGGTCACCTGATTGAACATCTTGTGTTGCTTGATGTCACACTTTTTTGGAAAAGATCCTCAGGATACTTTATTAACTTAAATGTGCTTTATAAAGTGGTATTGTTGAATTAATCACAATATGATTTTCTCCTCCACTCTGCAACACAGGGAAAGAGGAGCATGAAGGGGAAAGAACGGGGAAAGGAAGGACTGAGACATGGAGGAATATACCGTATGATAAATGAATTGATGCTGCTGTGTGGTTTAATACCACAAAATACAAAGAAATAGCATGCACTCTGCTATCCTTTTCATATTTAACAAAAAAGCATATCTAAAATGCTTACTTATCTGGCAAATACAGATAGTCAAAGAACAAACTGTGAGCTACAAACACACATTACCAGAACGAGGCAGGTTTTGCATCATTTATTCTGAATTGAATTACATTAAGAGTTGCTTTCTACAGAAGTTAGTAAAATCAAAATTTAGCGGTGTGAAAAAAGAAAATTAACTATAAATACTTTTAACACTGCCAGAGCAGCTATTAGTGGAATAAAGGTCTGCCATTACCAATTAAACTTCCAGCTACTTTCAAATATCACATTGATTCTTTTGTTAAATTTACTTAACTTTCTTCAAGTTATTTAAATGTAAAGGAAATCAAGTCAGCCAGTTTTTTGTAAAACATCTCTTCATTTGTCCTAAAAGCTTAAAAAAATTAAAACTGCTTTACACCTATGTACTAAGTGTACTGCTGTTGTCTGTATCCTAGCAGTTAGCGCCACAATGCCATGCAACACCAGTTCTAAAGTTTGCACACCTCAATAAAAATTTTCAATCTACTCAAAGGAGTGCAAATGTCACTGTTTCAGTTTCCAGTTTGAATTTCCTACAAAACATACATGATGATGGAAGTGGGCAACGTACTGAAATGTGACTGAAAATCATTTAAAGCAATGGTTGCAATATAAACCATGTGCCTTTTGAATGCATAGAAATTGGTGACACCAGACAATTTAATAATGCCTTTTTTATTATTGCAAGTTTGAAGTCGCATAATAAAGCAAGGTACAATCACTGATTTTGTCTTTAGAAATTCCCCAATCTCCTTTCCCACACACACTGCTTGAATCAAATTTGCACTGCCCAAATACTATCCTTGCAGGAAAGTGGTACCCTACAACAGCTACAACACCAAGTCACCATATAAATTCATGAGCAGATTTGTCTGTTCATAGACAGTGGGACATCAAACGTAAGCTGTGTCAAAACGGATTTGCCAACGCATTTCATAAATTGTTTCATTGGACTAAGAGGTACTGCTGAACACACTAATGGAATTCACATTTCAGAATTTGCAGGACAGCATTCAGTGCTGAAAAGGAAAAGAGGGTGTGATTATCAAAAAACAATAGCACAAATGAGAGATCTCGCATGCTGCTGTTTAACTGGTAGGTGAATCTATTGCCTACCTCGAAACGGAAAAATAATCTCCACACTATTTAGAAGTACAATACTAGATGCATAGAAATATCTTACCAGTTTAATGCATACCAACACTAGAGCAACTTGTTTGAAAGTAGTTATGGTTGATATGAAAGTTTTTAAGTTTAAACTGACTGCATTTGTGCCATGTTCTGGTGATACAAGTAGAAAAATAACTATCAGTGCTGTATGGGCCGGCTTGGTTTTTTTTAAGGACGGCGGGGGAAGAGTGATGAAGATATTTCTCTGTAATTTGGAGATGCCTTAACACAGAACATACTGAACCACAGAGCTTCCTGGTACTCACTGCGGTCTGCATAAGTGACCCACACAACAGTTCTCTCACAGAAGAGGGAGAAAAAGGACAAATCATGAATGATTTTTGTTTTTTGCATGTTAATATTTAAGGCCATTCAAGCAGTATTCAACAGATTTTGTATTGCTGCCTGCTGGGCTTCGTTAAGTGAAGTCATGCACTCAGTCCACAGTCCTCCCGAACCCTGAAATCAAAACGAAAACAGGCTTTTCACTAAGGCCAACACCGTTATTTTCAAATAAACAATCAATTGGTAGTAAAGAACTTGAACACTTGAAAAGAGAAACATGTTGCTGAAGCTTTTTGTCTTGCACTCAAAGCTAAATTTGAAACAATCAACTTATTCAGAAAAAAAAGGCACAAATTTGTTGGTAAATTGAATGATTGGTCATGGCATTGCATTCATCAAGGCTGGCATGCTAACCATTTGACACCATTTTATCCTTCAATGTAAACCATCCATTGTTTAACGTTTGGCATCCTTTTGTTTATTCTGATAAATGCAAGATCAAAAGGTTTGGCAAAATCTCTTTTCAGAAATAAACAGTACAGCAAATGTTTTATTAACCTGCACCTCTGGCACCAGGAGTGTGCCAGCTTATCGAGAGGTCCACATAATCAATGTGAAAACACACGCTAAGTAATAGGAACATAAAGCAGAGGGTACACACATCACTGTTATATTTTATTTACAGCATAAATTGCAAATAATGTAACCTTGCCTTAAACAAAACTTACCACAGAGAGCCTTTCTCACTCACATCCTCAACTGACCATTCTGACTTCGTGGAGATTGAGTTAATATAGTAAACTCTAAGTCAACCTTACCTGACATTGGGGGAGTTTATGCCAAAAGATGGACAGCTGTCCCATGGACTTCAAGCAATAGCCTAACGTGGTCATATTCATGGCCTCGTACATTACAGAAAATTTCCCCAGACACCACCATCAAAAACCCTGTTCAACCATCAGGACAGACCTATTACAGGTAGCAGTTAGGAGGGAGTTGCCTTGGGAATGTTCAACATTGGCTCCTGACCCCATGGAGGTTTCATGGGATCAGGCCATGCAAGAAAGAAACTTCCTGCTGATTCCCAAGTACTGCAGCACTTCAAGATGATGGCTCACCACCATTTCCTCAAGATCAATTATGGGTAGGTAATAAATGTTGGCCTAGCCAGTGGCATCACATCTAATAAACAAATAAATTTTAAAAAAAATGTTAAGTTGTGCATCCTGCAAGCACTATCCTCAACTGAACTGCACCATATGGCAATGTTACTAAAGTGCATTAAACAGAGCACAGAATACAAATTGTGCCAAGTATTCTTAAAAATGTTTCAGTTATAGACATTTTAAAAAATAGTAAGACTCATTATGCAACATAAACTTAGTTGGTAAACTCTTAATATAACATGCACAACATTAGAAATGAAAGGCATTTCACTTGGTAGTAACAGTAACAGACCTACCTGTACTTGTCGAATTACATTTGCCAACCGTTTGCTACAGGCATCTTCATTCTTTATAGCTTCATTCGTGAGACCGTCAGCAATGATAGCAAACACTCTGGGAAGGCTGGAATTATTGGGTCCAAGAACGATTGGATTATTACTGTGGATGAAACATTAGAATGAATTTCCTTGTGATACAAATTATTTCAACTTTAGACTGCACACCTCACTTCATTGTAAGGTACCTCTGAAATTATGCACAGTAGAAAATTTGCATTTTGGCCTAACCAAACAAATTGTGCAATTGATAACCAATTTTCCCCCTGTAGTGTGTTGTTCTAAATGCCATTCATCTATTGTATTCTTCTATTCTGAAAAATTGCAAATATACCTGAAACTATGTGCCCCTGCCTCTGTAATCTGACCCAGACTCTCAAACCACCGAGTGCACTGAGCTCTTCCAATTCTGGCCTCATGCACATCTCCACCATTTGGCATCACTCTACTATTGACATCCATGCCTTCAGCTGTCTGGCTCCTAAGCTCTGGAATTTCCTCCCTAAGAAGTAAGCTCCCACTGCTTGTCTGTCTCTTCTCCATTAAGATAAATTTTAAAAAGAAAAATCTGGTCTCTGCCAGTTTTTGATTACCTTTTGCAATATTGTCATTCCTTCAATGTCAATATCTTAGAATTCCCTTCCTAACAGCACCGAGAGTGTACCTGCACTACAGAGACTGCCACGGTTCAAGAATGCAGCTCACCATCTTCCCCGGGAAATTAAGATTGGGCAATAAATGCTGCCCTAGCCAGCAATTCCCACATTCTGTGGGAGAAACTTGGAACAGTTTGCCACTTTAAAGGCATGTATTCATGGTGGCTCAAATATCTACTGCCTCATATTTTCATGACTAAATATTTCTAAATTATTGCTTCTTTAGGATGACAGAATGTCAAAGATCAATTTGAAATTGCCTGGGAAAATGTGGCCCCTGCTATGCTCCAGCATAGCTTGATACATCATGCTCTAGCACCACCTAGAGGCTCACATGCAAATACAGCAGCAATTGACTTTCAGTCACAATCACTTCATTCTTAATGTCCTTGCCCATAACCAAGCAAATGGCACAGATCATGTGCAATTAATGCAGGCAGCAATTACAAAGGCATAACTTAAACTATTCTGAGCAGCTTGATGACTTCAGATAATTCAAGATCTTGAACAAGTACCTGTCCAATCCTCCCTCTGCGAGTCCAAACAAGGCACCAATGGTTACCTTGTCCCATAGATGATCAATAGTCAGTGTTGTAATAAAATGGGAGGGAGTACAACACCTCGTGTTTGAGGGAGGGTAAACCTCCAGTCCAACCCACCATTTCAGCCGAGCTGCCTCCCTAAACAATTTTAGGACTTTAACCTCAGCAAAGTTGACCATATTCAATACAGGGCTACTGGCATCAAGTTCAATTATCATTTTTGGATTAAGGAAATGCTTGGGTAGGCCAGTGACATTTGTTCCTGCAATACAGGGCTACCCCATGCACATGACAGTCCACAGTGAGAGCAAAGAAATTGCATTAAGGTGAATGGACCCAGTGTAAGAAATAGGGACTACGTACAGCTTCAGAAGCATGCAGTCAACATCAATTCAAATGTTCTTTCCCTCATCATCTGACTATCTTGTATAGAACAGCAGCCTATTCATTATAGATTTCTAAACTTTTATTCAAGTGTCACATATTGCAAATATGCATCTCCAAACCCAATGTAAAAAAGCACAAGCAAATCTCCAGTTAATGCCCACCATTCGAATACTATTAACCAATTAATATACAATTAGCTGTAAGCTAGTTGCTTCAATAGTCATAATATGCAATATTTCAGGGAAACTTTGACAACTTTCCTATTCAACTGTTGCAACCTCAGCAGAAAGCCACACAGGTGGGTAAATACACCTTCTGCTGAATCTGATCATCCAAATTTCCTGAAGTGGATTTTGAGAAATTTCTCCCTCTCCCTAAAAGTGATCCTTGTTCTAACATCAGTGGGATTCAAACTAAATTAAGAGCATTCTGATTATTCAGCTCAAGTTCAACTGATGTCATTTGTGCTCTGTTCAGATTTAGGAAGAAAATCAGGGTCAGTTTTACTTTATGATTAAATCTGAACCCTTGGTTCCTCTACACAATTAATTAAAAACAGACCCAGAGATTCAGCTTGATGACAAACAGATTCCATGCTTGAGAACTAGCAAACCTTTATATCAAAAGCAATTTGAGCACAAGACAGGCAAGACTCCCATTCTGAGCCAGTCAGGTCATCACAGCAGATTAATTTTAATGTAGAAGAGCTGAAAGTGGAGGCAAATGAAATCCATTCTCTCCAGTGTTGGTAGAATGAATGCGATGCTTCACAGAAAATAAATTATGGTTTCCTCCCAGCTCTCCATTAACACAGATCATGCCAGTTGTGAGGAGATAGATCAGCAATCTAGAATTATTTCTTCCCACCCCCAACCCCAACCATCTCTAGGCTCAGTCTGGTTCTTGTGCTAATCTTCAAGCACTTTGTATTACAACAGAATTTGTATCAAAAAGAAGGTGGATGTTTGATTGAATCAAGACTAGCAACAGGATCAGGTAAATAGACCACTCACTGAGTAGCATGACTTTGCAGATGAAAAGATTTTTTGTTTACTTCTAAAGGAACAATTGCAGAAACAAAAAACTTGAGTTTGGAATTGATCTGGTGTTGAGAAATTGCAAGCACAGATGGCAGCTGAAACAGCTATAAGTGCAGTATCAAAGAAAGCAAAGTTACTAGAAATAGCAGAACCTGTGAGAAGGTCTCAAAATATTGGGTATCCTAAATGTACTTTACAAGCTTTGTTACAGAGTTCAATAATTCTAGATCTTAACCTCTGTACCCACTCTTAAACACTAAGTGCTAGTGTAGATTCTCCTTTTCCCATTCACCCCTCTTTTAAACCCCTTATTACCATTCCATTTTGCTTTGCACCATCACCTCTTTTGCCATTGAATTCTTCCTGCCTTCCACCCCAATTTCAGGCAAATCACTTTTGCTCTTCTTCTCCACAACCATTTCCCTATCTGAGCTTGCTTAAAACCTGCCCACAGGTCTGACACCTTCCAGTTTTGATAAGAGGTTATTAATCAGGATTATTAACAATTTCTCCTGCCACAAATGTTGCCAAACCAGATCAAAAGTTTCCAATGTTTTGCAAGGACTAGTCCCAAATTTCTGTTGGCATCAATTCATAACTCAGTGAAGACTAAAACATCTTAAATTGCCTAAATCAAGAAAAATTAATTCTGCTAGTAATTACAATGAATGATCAGCATCCTTTCAATATATTTTTACCAATATTTCTGGAGATCAAAAGCAAAATATTTCATAAGGAAATCTCAGCTTCCAAAAGGAAAGTGAAACCTCTTTAATCACAAGCAACTAAAATTAGTGTGAACATACGTAAAAATAGCACATTGCAGAACCACACAACATAGTCCATAATGTCTGTTACAGCTCTTTCAGGGATTTTATGCAATTAGCTCCAGGCTTCAGCACTTTACCCCTCAGTCTTACAAATATTTCACAAGTTCTAACAAGTTATATTTAATTGAAATCAGACTTAGCCAGAAATAAAACTTGCCTTTCAATAAGATCACACAAATAACTGAAAGTGTGAACTGCTTCTTCCTTGTCTTCATGCAGTGGTAGCCATGACAACCAGTGAGGTAAAATCTCATTGACATTTACACATTCAGGTCTATACTTCATGACTTTCCCTACTGCAGATATACAGTTTTCTGTTGCATTAATATTTTCTTTGGATCTGGACCCTTCCATCTGAATAACTCCCACCAGGAGTGGAATTGCCTCTGTTGGGTAAAAATAAAACACATTTGTCCAAAAATGACATACAGGAACACAGAAGTTAAGAGCAGACCATTTAGCCCTCAAACCTAGTCCACGATAAGATAAGATCAGGATAGCAATTATCATGCAGATCGGCTTTGCTACCATCTCAATGTCAAGCTTACATTGTGATCAGATGCCTAATGCCCTACAGCTGCCTAGTCTTCCTCAGGTTATTCTGGAAGGGAAAGGGGGCTCAATAATTTGTACAGATAAAGTTAGCCACCTTGTGCTGCTACTTGGCAGTAAACCGACAAATTGTTTTCTCCACTAAGAGAATGCTGCCATCAGGCCAAAAAGATGTTTTACTCATCACACAAATGAGTAATGTGATATGAGAGGTGCAGTGTCGGTGTGATGCCAAGTATATTTCTGTACGCCTCAAAGAGGGGCGGACCATTTCTAGCAAGACATCCCGTTGACCATTCACAGTAGGCAACAGGCCAGCGTGCTTAACCAGCCTTAAATTGGAGGCCTTAGAACAGTATTCCCACCCACACATTGGACATAATTTATTAAATAATCTGAATTAAGAATTACACCTTAAATTAAATTTTAGATTATCAGTTTGGCTTGCAATGTTATGCACAGTCATGTGCCAGAAGCTACGAATGTGAACACACTGGACCCTATTTTGTGTAGGCAAAAGGAATCTGTACATTTGTACATCTTTTTCATTGGGAAATAAAGAGGTCATGGAGACTACCAATTTACACTGTATTCTCATGACAATACCCTGACCAGTCTATCTGCTTGACCTGAGAACTAAGACTGACAATCAACTGCTCTTGCTGTGTCTCCATCCCAACAATGGCCCAACCAACCAGCAAACTCCTCTGCTGCAATAGAAATTGCTGTCCTTTTCTCAAACCTGCTTCTTGCATCCTGTTCTGACAAGTGAAAGACAGAAAGCTTTGACTTCTTGTCTTCTTTTAGCAATGTTTAATTTCTGAACTACCAAGCAATTATTTAATTCAATAGATACCAAAGAATCTTAGAACGACTGTGTTATGAATTAGAGTGAGCAAAATGTGACACCAGAACTCAATGTGTAAACAATGAATCTTTGAATTCAGTTCAAGCACTACCGATGAAAAAGATGAAAAGAACTGAAAAAATTAAGAAAATATCGTCGGATTAGAGCACACTATCTTAAATATAAAAGACTTACAATACATGAAGCTGCACATGACTAGGATGAGATAGTCCACTCAAGCCACATTTATATAAATTTACAATTTCAGGCTTTGTGAACCAGAATAAGTGCAGCATATGCAGAAAATGTGCAATTCAGATTATAGACGCTTGGGGAACAAAAGTATTTATCGTCCCAATCAACCATATTGTTTCTTGTAAAACTTCATTGTCAAAATGTTTTGTTATCGAGCCTAAAAGTGATCTGGGAGATTCTGATCAAGCATATTTCCTGAAAGAACAAAGTTGGCTAAAGAATAAATCAAATAGTGTTAGATTGTAAAACACACATTAATAGATGTTCCATATTACTTCTATGGAACACAAAATCAGAATCACTTTTGGTGCAACTTGGAAGTTAAAGAGATTCCTCTTGCAACCCGCATTCATTTGTTTAAAATAACATGTCAGCAAAGCTAATATTGACGGAAAAAAAAACCAAAAGAAAAATCAACAATACAACTATTTTCAAAAAGAAATCAATTATTGGGCTGAGGGGGACACTGGCAAGGCCAGCATTTCTTTGGCCATCCTTAATTGCCCAGAAGGTGGGTGAACTGTTCTGGAACCTCTGCACCCTTCTTAGAAATGGAGTTCCATAATTCTGACCCAGAAATGGCGAAGGAAGTGCAATATAGTTCCAGGTCAGTATGGTGAGAGTGAGAGAAGAGAAGAACTTGCAGTTGCTTGCATTCCCATGCATCTGCTGCCCTTGTTCTTGTATGTTAGGTGTTGTGGGTTTGGAATGTGCTGTCAAAGAAGCCTTGTTAAGTTGCTGCAGTGCCTCTTCTCGATGATGCACAGCACATCTGTGGTGATTTAAATAAACATTTAAGATGATAAATGTGCCAGTCAAATTGGCTGCTTCATCCTGGATAGTGCAAAGTTTCTTGAGGATTATTGGAGTTATACCCAGCCAGGCAAGTAGGGAATATTTCATCACACTCCTGACTTGTGCCTTGTAGATGGACATGCTTTTCTTTGGTGTGCGCACGCCGGTGTCTTAACATAGAGTCTCTTGATGTCTAGACTTCAGCTCTTTTGTCCATGTTTGGATCAAGGCTGTAATAAAGCCAGAAGCCAAGAAAGCCCTCGTGGAACCCAAAATGAGCATCAGTGAACAGACTATCCCCTTGTAAGCCACTTAACAACACTGTCAACAATACCTTCCATCACTTTGATGATAATGGAGCGTAGACTGACATGGCAGTAATTGGCCGGGTTGGATTTTTCCTGCTTTTTGAGCACAGGATATATCTGGGTAACTTTCCATATGATTAGATGGATACCAGTGTTGCAGCTCCTATGACAATTTGTAATTACACGGCAGCACCTTTGAATCAGACTCGCTTTCCACCACATTAAAGAAGAAAGTCTCCCACTGGACAAGGTTTCAGAAAAACATTAATAATAGAAGTGCACAATCTAAGTTACCATTAACTTTTAAAAAACAGACAGAATCTTTATTTCTGCGGTTAGATTGAAATAAAATTGCACCCTTCAGATAAGGCTGTTCATACCATGTGGAAACACTCAGATCCAGCACTCAGTGATAACATCAACAAATTGAGGTTTAAAATAATCAGCCACATTTCTACAATCTCAATCACCTCCTTAAGAGTTAACCTATGCTGAAATTAAGTAGCAAGTTTTGGAAACGAACAGATACAGAGTCATACAGCACGGAAACAGACCCTTCAGACAAACCAGCCCATGCCGAACATAATCCCAAACTAAACTAGTCCCACATGCTCCTGGCTCATAACTGCCCAAAAACCTTTCCTATTCATGTACTTATCCAAATGTCTTTTAAATGCTGTAACTGTACATACATCCACCACTTCCTCAGGAAGTTCATTCCACACACTAAACACCCTGTGAAAAAAAATTTGCCCGTTATATCTTTTTAAAATCTCCCACCTTAAAAATGTGCCCCCCTCATCTTGAAATCGCCCATTCTAGGGGGAAAACAATCATTAACTATCTATACCTCTCATTATTTTATAAATTTCTATCAGGTTGCCTCTCAACCTCCTACACTCACGTGAAAAAAAGTCCCAGCCTTTCTTTGTAACTCAAACCTTCCATACCCAGCAGTATCCTGGTAAATCTCTTCTGAACTCTCTCCAGTTTGATAATATCCTTTCTATAACAGGGTGACCAGAACTGGACACAGTATTCTAGAAAAGGCCTCGCCAATGTCCTGTACAACCTCAACAGGACTTCCCAACTCCTATGCTCAAAAGAACTGAGCAATGAACACAAGCATGCCAAACATCTTTTTATCCACCATTTATGTTTGACGCAAACTTCAAAGAATTACATACCTGCACTCCTAGATCCTTCTGTTCTACAACACTACCGAAGGCCCTATCCTAGTTTGCTGTACCAAAATGCAATACCTCGCATTTATCCAGACTGAACTCCATCTGCTATTTTTCAGCCCATTGACCCATTTGATCAAGATCCCTTTGTAATCTTAGAAAACCTTCTTCGCTGTCTACGATGCCACAAATTTTGGTGTCGTCCACAAACTTACTAGCCATGCCTTCTATATTCTCATCCAAATCATTTATATAAGTGACAGAGGACCCAGAACTGATCCCTGTGGAACACCGCTGATCACAGGCCTCCAGTCGGAAAAGCAACCCTCCACCATTACTATGTCTCCTGCCATTAAGCTGATTATGTATCCAATTGGCACAGCTCACTGAATCCCACGTGGCCCAACTTTACTAATCAGTCTACCATGCAGAACCTTGTCAAAGGCTTTACTAAAATCCAAACAAACGTTTACTGCACTGCCATCATCAACCTTTTTGATAACTTGCTCAAAAAACTGAACCAAGTTTGAGAGACACGATTTTACTTGCACAAAACCATACTGACTATCCCTAATCAATTTTTGCCTATCTAAATGTCTCCAAATCCTGTCTTTTCTAATCACCTCCAACAACTTACTCACGACTGAAGTTAGGCTCAAAGCTCTATAGTCCCCCAGTTTCTCCTTACAACCTTTCTTGAACAAAGGTACCACATAAGCCACCCTCCAGTCATCAGGCACCTCACCCATAGCTATAGATGATGCAAATATTTCGGAAGGGGTCTCACAATTTCCTCCCTTACTTCCCAACATATTCTGGGATACATTATATCAGGTCTTGGAGATTTATCCACTTTTATATTCTTTAGGACCTCCCAAACTACTTCTGTAACGTAAACTATTTTCAAAACATCAAAATTTATTTCTCTGCATCCTCTAGACTCCATTTCTTTCTCCACAGTAAAAAGTGACGTGAATTATTCATTTAGTATCTCTCCCATCTCCTGGGGTTCAACACAAAGATGACCTCTTTGATCTTGAAGGCGCCTTTCCTCTCTCTAGTTACCCTCTTGCTTTTAATGTATTTTTCGAATCTCTCCAGATTATCCTTAACCTTATCTGCCAATGCTATCTCATATTCCCTCTTTGCCTTCCTAACTTCTCTCAAGAGTGCCCCTACATTTTGTATTTATTAAGAGATTCAAGTGAACAAGGTTGTCTCTATTTAAAATAAGATTATCTTTTAGATTTGACTAGAACCCCATTATCTTTATTCATCCATTGTTTCTTAATCTTACCAGCCTTACCCGTCACTCTAGCAGGAATAAAATGTCTCTGAATTGATTTTTTAACCTTTTCAAGATTGGCATAAAATTTGATTAAGTGAGGCTACAGATCACAATAGAATCCTGGATGTAAGAGGTCATTTCAATATACATTATGTGCACAGCTAAAAGGGGATAAATGTCATGGGTTAGACTTCTGCTTTATTCCCACATTGCTTGTAATTTATGGTTTGTTGTTCAAGTGTACAAACAGAAAACCATAACTAATTAAACCTACCTGTACAGAATGGTCTGTAATTCTCTCCACCAAATTGTGCCATAACTCCAACGCCATATGCAGCTGCTTGTCTGACCTCAGGGCTGTTGTCACAGATGTACTGCAACATGGGCCTCAAGAAGTACTCTGCATATTTAAAAGACGTAGGACTGCAATGCTCAATTACATCATCAAAGATGCACAAACCCCACTGCTTGTCAGCCCACGGCCTGTGCGGACACTACAGAAATGAAAAGTATGCATCAGCTTGAAAGCATTGGCAGAACTAGAGTTAATGCCACAAGTCTGGAAAATTTAATTGCTTTAAACTTACAATTAGATTGACTATTAGTGGTAGAATTTGTTCAAACCATGGCAGCACTTTATCTTTGTAACAGCTGAACATCGAATGCAGGATGTCCGAAATTTTAGTCAAGATGTAAACATCACTATCATCCTGTAAGTAAATATAATACTGCTTACACACAAATGATAAAATCAGCTAGAATTCAATTAGAATAATACACAATAACACAATAAGAATTCAGACTTTTTTTTAAAAAGATCCTGATCGATACATTTTGAATCTTAGAATCCCTACAGATAGGAACAGGCTATTCGGCCTATCGAGTCCACACTGACCCTCCGAAGAGCATCCCACCCAGACCCACTCTCTACCCTACCCCTGCATTTCATTTGGCTAATCCACCTAGCCTGCATATTTCAGCACTTCAGCATTGTCAATCCACCTAAACTGCACATCTTTGGACTGTGGGAGGAAATCAGAGCACCAGAGGAAACCCATGCAGACATGGGGAGAATGTGCAAACTCCAAACAGTCAGCCAACTGAGGAATCCAGGTGTTGCGAGGCAGCATGGCTAACCACTGAACCACCATGCCACCTTTCCCAAAATCAAATTACTTTGACATAATAGAAATGAGTGATCTTGTGCAATCTTGACTTTTAGCAGAACAAAAAAATGACTTTTCATAGACATCATTGTAGGTTGTCCTTCATTTTTAAAAAATCTAAACCCTTTGGCCCAGATTTTCCAATCAGGGTCAGAAACCTCATTTCTGAGCTTGGTTAGACAGGGAAAAAAACTACACACTTACACTTGGAAGAGCTTTGCGCAAAAACCTCTGGGGGAAGAATCTACACAGCCAATGGAATGAATCCGTGCTGAAAACCCAACATTTTTTTCAACACGAGCTGCCATATTTCAAGATTTAAAGCCCCTGCAGCCACTTGCACATTTTTACAGCTGCTGAAAGAAGGTAAGGTAGGTGGGTAGGTGGAGCCATAGGTGCCAGGTGGGTGGCTGGTAAATAGCCAAATGTTTATGCTAAGTCAGATGGAGGAGAGAAGTCAGGTCGTTTGGGTAGCAGGGAGAAGAGAAGGGGAAAACGAGCAGCAATCTGGCCTCTCAGGTTAGAACAGACTAGAAGAATTTTGGGTCTGTGGGTTAGACAGTCCTACTTGCTAGATAATTTCCTAGACAATTCTTGAACATCTGTGCATGAGGATTTCCATAAGGTCCTGACACACCACGGCCAGAATACTTCTGGTCTCCAACTGTCAGGAGACTGGAAAACCTGGGCCTTGGAGCTCACCCTCCACTCTCTGCTAAAGTCAAAAACTACCCTGGTGTAGACCACTACAATTGTAAAATAGCACACTAGTCAGCTGTTCAGCTCCTCACATCTGTGCATGTCAACATATGATGTTAAGCCCACCACTGGTGTGTGCTGCATTCCCACAAATCCCACTCTCTCATAGAACAACAGTAAGAAGGAATGACATATATACAGGAACGTCCCATCTTAAAAAATGTTGACAGTTTATAATATATACACTTGTGGGATGTGGTTATCGCTGGATAGCCAGCATTTGTTGCCTTTGAGAAGATGGTTGAGAGCTACGTTCTTGAACAGCTGCAGGAGATCCATAATGCCCTTACGGAGGATATACCAGGATTTTAACCCAGCGACAATGAAGAAGCTATGAAATATTTCCAAGTCAGAATGAAGAATGGCTTGAAGGGGAACTTGCAGATGGCAGTGTTCCCATCTGTCTCCTGCCCTTGTCCTTCTAGATCAAAGTGGTTGTGGGTTTAGAAGGTGCTGTCTTAAGGATCTTTGGTGAATTTCTGCAGTGCGTCTGTAAATAGTACACACTACTGCTAAGTGTCAGTGATTGAGGGAGTGGATGCTTGGAGATGTTATATTGTTCAGCTCAGTTTCTGTTACATTTAGGAGCAGAGACAGTGGGAATAGCCTCCGACATGGCAGCTATGTTAGGGAGGAGAAGGAAAAGGGCAGATTTTAAACACATCTAAAAACACTGATCATGTGCAAGTCAGCCCTCAACTTAGTTAAAAGATTTAGTTTTGCAAGTATGACTTTTATATGAATATACATGGCATATATGTTGATGATAATTTAGCGTAATGTACAATAAAAATACAAGCCATTACTTCATCTTGCAAGTTTTCTTCAACTTGTTCATCGTAGTCTTCATCTTGTCTTTTTGCTAAAGGCAAAAACAATTGAACTGCAATGTTAGAAATCGATAGTTATAAAATCTTAGAGAATGAGAAAACTCAAGGAGGAAGTCAGTCAGAAGTGATAGCAACATGCACAGAAACATCACAACGATATATCACATGGTTACCTTGTCTCAATTCTTGATTTTTGAAGTGTTCTTCTAATTTCCCCTTCATAATATTTCCCAGTTCTTCAAGATGTTCCTTGTTTAAGCAGCCTTCACCCATCAACTCTATACACTAAAGGCCGAGAGGGAAACATGCAACAACGGAATAAACAAAACAATAAATGCACATTATTAAATAAAATAGCTCAGTCCAGCTAATTTCATTACAGGGGCTCCTATTAAGTGACTCAAACTTTGCTCTAGCAACTGCAGTTGACATTTTTGCCAAGTAATCACTTCCTCCCTCTCAAGTTCTGCACCGTCTAATTTCATGATTTCTACTCGGGTTGTCTGACCGCAGAGCATTCATAACATTAGACATTCAGTTAAATATTTCACAGATTTATGACGCTTAGGGATTCTTTGACTTTGAGAACTTTAAAGAAAAGGAAAGAAACAGCTTTCCAAAAGACACTCTTTTAGGACATTGTAAGCTGAGCAGTTGGTGCACTGGCAGGAGGCTTTTAACGTACAAGATCAGCATGGTTTTATTTTGCTACATATTTTAAAAGAACAAAGTCACCAGCAATAGCTGGTATTCAGAAAGGTGCTTACACCAGACTCGCCTGAACTCTACTGGTTATTGAAGGTAGGCATGGTGGCAAGCAAGTACTAAATTGAGGGGAACTCCAACCTGGTGTGGTCTTACATCATGCAAAAGGCCCAAAGTGGGTTTATATACGTGGGTATTCTTAATTTTTTTTACATACATATACAATCATCTTCTGCTTTGTTTGCGTACTCTTTGTCTTCTCTGACATTCAACATTGAGTATGTTATAACCATTTTATTTCATAGTAGTTAATGAACCAAAGAAAGGATGTTGCAATTTAGAAAGTTCAAGTCAAGGCTGTTGAGGAAGCAACTAACAACGCAGACCACAGTATCCTATAGCAGCATAATCAATTATTTTGTAGTTCAGGCAGAGATCAATGGGTCTATGGACATTAAGAGATATTAAGGGGTCATTTGTGGGACCTTTGTTATTTGTTATTTACATAAGCGATCTGAATGTGGATGTACAAGACATGATTGGTAAGTTTACAGATGATACAAAATTAGGACGTATCGTTGATAACAAGGAAGGTTATCAAAAATTACAGAGGGATCTTGATCAGATGGGGAAACGGACTGAGGATTGGCAAATGCAATTCATACAGATAAATGCGAGATATTGCACTTTGCAAAGTCAAGCCAGCTGGGACTTGTACATAACTGGTAAGGGGTCCTAAGGAACATTGTGTAACAGAGGGACCTAGGACTACAAGTACATAGTTCGTTAAAAGTGGTGTCACAGGTAGACAGGGTGGTGGTGAAAGTGGCATATAGCATGCGGGCCTTCATTGGTCGAGGCATGGAGCATAAGAGTTGGCATATTATATTACAGTTGTATAAGTTGTTGGCGAGGATGTATTTGAAGTATTGTGTACATTTTGGTCACCTTGTTATAGCTGAGACATAGTTAAACTGGAAAGTATGCAAACAAGATTTATGAGGATGTTGCCAGGACCGGCAGGCCTGAGTTATAGGGAGAAGTTGGCCAGGATAGGACTTTATTCCATGGAACATAGGAAAATGAGGGGTGACCTTATTGAGGTATATAAAATCATGAGGGGCAGAGATAGGATAAAAGCATATAGTTTTTTTCCCAGCGATGGGGAATTGAAAACTAGAGGGCATAGGTTTAAGGTGAAAGGGGAAAGACTTAAGGACCTTAGGGGCAACTTCTTCATGCAGATAGTAGTGCGTATAATGCAATGGGCTGCCAGAGAAAGTGGTTGAGGCAGGTTTAAAAACATTTGGATAGGTACATGAATGGAAGGGTTTAGAGGGAAATGGGCCAAATGCAGGCAATTGGAACTAGCTGAGTGGGCAGCATGGACCAGTTTCAGCTGAAGGGCCCGTTTCCATGCCATATTACTCTGACTCTAAAGGATTGGGGGTATGGGGGTGCGCTACAGCAAGGAACAGTTGAGGGACAAGATCAAACATCACCTTAATGAATGACAGTTGACTCTAAAAGAGAGCTTTATGCTGCACATCACTTGACACTACCAATCTAATTTGGCATGAATCTTTAGAAGCATCCCACTTTCATGCAAAATAAAGAAAGTTCCATTGCTCTACATAAAAATTACCTTTGCAAATGAATGCATAATTTCAGAAAGAACATCAGAATCTGGCTCTGTACCAATTCCTTTGATGAGAGAATCACACATAAAATGCCACATCTGTGTCACATACTCAGGTCCTTGGACACGAGCACATTCCAATAACAGAGGCATCGATTCAGCTGCAGCAACACGAACACGTCTCGTTGTCAAGGAAGAACACAGTATTCAAAAAAAGACAAATCTAACACACCGTCATGGGAATTTAATGTTAAAATTATAGCCTGCAATGACTGTGATAAATAAACAATACAGAAGAGAATGTGGGAAGCTGGAAATAATGATAAGTAGGTTTGCAAATGACATAAGGATGAACTGAGTGGCTGGCAGTAAGGAAGATAAGAAGATCCTAACTTACAGGAAGATCGACAGATTGGTCATTTGGGGAGATTAATGGCAGATCGAATGTAACCCTGAAAGGTGCAAGGTGATGCACTTTGGAAGAAGTAACAAGACACGAGTCAGGGTGCTTGTCCACAGATACCTGAAAGCAGCAGGACAGGTTAATAGAGTAGTTCAGAAGGCATATGGGACACTTGCCTTTATCAATTATGGTATAGATTATAAAAGCAGGAAGGTTATGATGGAAATGTTCAAAACTTTGGTTAGGCTACAGCTGGAGTACTGCATGCGGTTCTTGTTGCCACACTATAGGAAGCATGGGATTGAACTAGAAGGGGTGCAGAGGAGGTTCACCAGGATGTTGCCCACAAGGTTGCAGGGGTCTTGGTAGAGGTTTATAAGATTGAGGGGCATGGACAGGGTGGATAGGAAGAAGCTGTTTCCCTTAGTTGAAGGGTACAAGGAGCCATAATCTTAAGGTGAAATGCAAGAGATTTTGAGGGAATTTAAGGAAATGTTTTTTCATCGAGAAGGTAATGGGAATCTGGAATGCACTGCCTGGGAGGGTAGTTGAAGTGGGAAACCCTGCAATTTTTTTTAAAAGTACTTGGATGAGCACTTGAAATGTCATAATATTTAAAGGATTTGTGCCAAGTGCTGGGAAGTGGACCAGTGCAGATTTACAGCAGTTTTATCAGTGCAGACACAATGGACAGAAGAATCTCTTCTGTCTTGTATGAAACTATATTTAATCAGATTTGCATTTAAATAGTAGCCTTTAAAACCACAGGAGATCTCAAAGCACTTCAAAGTCAATGAAATGGCATTGTTGCTGTAAAGTAGGAAATACTGCAGTCAACTTGCTATATACAGCACTGTGATAATGACCAGATAATTTGTTTTAGTAATGATGATTGAGGGATAGATATTGGCCAGGACACTAGAGATACCTGACCTTCTCTTCTATAAAATTGAGCCAATTGTCTTTTACATCCTCTGAGATGCATTTACAGATTTGGTTTTACCTCTTGTCTGTAAGAAGCACCTCCGACAGTGCAGCACTCTCAATACAGCGTCATATTGTCAGCCTAGCTTCTGTTTTCAAATCTTGGAGTGGGACTCAAAACCCCAACCTCTCACGCAGAGGTAAAACTGTCCACTATCGGAACTACCGCTGACACCCAATTCTAAGTCAGTTACTGCACAAAATGCTTACAGTTGTCTTTTTGTCAAATTTAACTGAACATTTAAAGGATCTCATCCCAATTTCAACTGTATTCAAGAAACAAAGAATATTGTAGTTAAGCCAATCCAACAGCATTTAACAAAACTTTTAAATATCAAGTATAAAAAAATTAGTTGTAGATCAGAACATTTTATTTTCTTAAATTTTTTAAAATGGGAACAACATTTTCCCTTTATTTTGTTAGCAGGAATTTGAAAAGAAAGTCCTGTATTTATATCATAATTCACAACCAGACCACATAGGTGGCAAAGTGGCTAAGTGGTTAGCACTGCTGCTTCACAACTCCAGGGATCCTCATTCGATTCCACCCTCGGGCCACTGTTTGCGTGGAATTTGCACATTCCCCCGCCGTGTCTACATTGGTTTCCTCTGGGTACTCTGGTTTCCTCGCACAGTCCAAAGATGGGCAGGTTAGGTGGATTGGCCATGCTAAATTGGCCTGTAGTGTTCAGGGATGTGCAAGCGAGGTGGATTAGCCACGGTAAATGGGGGGTTACGGGAATCAGGTGGGATATGATTTGGAGGGTCAGTGCTGACGTGATGGGCCTAATGGCCTCTATCTACACCGTAGGCATTCTAGATAAACTTTCAGGGTAAACTTGCAAGTAATATCCCTGGATCCACTGAGAACAGCTTACAATCTAACTTATAAATGTCAAAACACTTTACAATGAACAAGTAATTTTTGAAGACTAGTCACTTGTGTAGAAAGCAACAGCCAATACTTGCCTAGTAAAAACAAATTATGAAAGAAAGGATATCATCGTGAAAATAAAACTTAAGAAGTGGAACCATCAGTTTCACCACTTGCTCTGTGTATTCGGCAAACCCTTCCTTCAGCTCCTTTGCGTAACATACCTAAGGACGGAAATCAATTTCACATCAGCAGTTAAGTCAGTGAGGCCAATCCAAATCCCATTAAAGAAAACATTCACTACTTTAAAGCTATTATTTCACCATCTGATCAGAGATTTTTGTTTTAAAAGAAAAATCTCACTTTTACTTGCAATTAAGTGACTCATTTATGGAGTGGGTAAATGCATCAATAACAGTGCTGATTTATTAATAGGATTGCTGAAAAATGCAAACTGCAGTATCTGGCTGGTTAGCACAAGTAGAACAATTTAACAGGACGGGATTTCAGTTTCTACCGAAATCCCAAACTAATGTCAACATCCTGGCCGGAGACAATCCAAGCTCAATGTTATTTCTCAACAATACTTGCAGTGTTTCCATCACTACACCAGAGTCATTTGTTAGGAAAGGTGAGATCAATTTAATTAACGGGCGAATGACTTTGAAAGCCTAGCCAGACTCGAACATTTAGTCATCAAGATTACAGTAATCAAGTTAAAATAGTACTCTCAGGTCTCAGACATATGGAATTCCTATGGTGTTAAAAAGCATACAGCATTGCAACTTATACAATTCTTTCCTTCCTAATATCCTTGGGTGCCTTTCCCAACAGTATCGGCAAACAGTATTAGCATCAACACTAAGTACAACAACTTTAGATCCTGACCTGGGATCCCAAAAATAAAACAACTGGAGATTGGGCTGTTACCACTTGCATCACCTCTGGAACCATCACTTGTTTCTTTTATTTGACCCATTGTCACACAGAAGAAAGGAACAATTAAAATCAGTAAGTAAGAAAGAAAACTTGTGTTTATTTACTTTATTTATATTTATTTTAGTATCCCTTTCACTAATTCATCACTCCTACTATCCTCCCCATCAGACTGGACCTGTCAGTTCTTTTCCACTAGCCAACCTTGGTAATGGTTCTATTTTAGACTTTTTCACCTTTTCCATTCTGAGAAAACATCATTACATCACATAAGCAAGACGCTAGAAATCTGAAAGGAAGTAGAATATTCTGGAAACACTCTGCTGTCAGGCAACATCTTGTGGAGAGAAAAACAGCATTTCACAACTTGAAACATTAAATCTCTTTCCCTCTGCACAGATTCTGCCTGGCCTGCAGTATTTCCAGCAATTCTTATTTTAATAAAGGTGGCGATCTTCCTGATCTCATCCACCACATAGTCCATTGACCACAGGACCATTTGCGCAAGTATTGGTGTTAAATACACATTTCTATTGGTCTTACAGTTTAGCAACAGTTAGTGAAAATATCCACCTTGACAGCCTCACTATCGTTAAACCAACGACACTCCGAAAATGATAAAAGAGACCTGGGCTTGCTTTTAAAGACATGAATTTTAAATAGCAAACACTGCGTGAGCTTAAAGGAGTAACAAAATACTACTGTGCAAATGTAGACTCTGCACTTTATTCCACCCACATTGTTCAACTGATTTAAACCTGGTCAATTCTCATTTTCAAAAATTTGCACAATGCTCTGAATCAACTTTTTAAGAAAAAGAGGTTTAATGTGGGCAGCATTAATCAAAGCCAAACTCTCACTCACCAGCATCTGACAAGCTGTTGCCTTCTCCTCTAAACCTGCAGTTTTGATTCCAAAGCTCTGTTGATCTCCAAGGTTTACAAACTCCCATCCATCATCCTCACTCATGTTCTCCATATCTTGAGCTGACAAAAAAAACTGCACCTTACACTTATGCTCAACAACTTGTGTTCATCTTCAAGTTACAAAAACATCCAAATTAATATTACTAAACAATATATGTGATGCCAAGGAACAGAGATATCAGGGCAGGTGATTACAAAATTGATCAAGGAGTTATGTTTGAAGGAAAGTCTTAAAATAAGAGATTTCTTTTGGGGTGGCGGGGTAGTAATTTCAGCCATCAGAACCCAGACAACTGAAGGCACAGTCAACAATGGAGGAGAGATTACAGGTCGAAGCCAATTTTCAGCAACCTTGCAAAAGTCCATCATTGCCAAAAAAAAATTACTGCCAAAATTTCACTGCTACTTGAAGCAGCAATATGGTCACGCCTCCATTTTGATTCCTCAATCTACCCTCGACCATTACTTGCCTATTTTTCAATGAAAATTAATATTGTCCACATGTCAGAGAATTTGTTTGAGATGTTTTTAACAAACTAGAATGCTCTTTAAACAATGGGATGGTTCTTCCAGCATTGTCTCAGTGCTATTAAGTGCATAACCAGTGATCAATGCAATCAATGATTGCTCCATCTGAACTAAATGGCAGTTTTTTTTAGGGCACATACATGTGTTAATCAGTTTTTTAAAAATGATTTAGCTGCTCAGCATTTGTATTTAACTGGAATATGTATAACTTTAGACCCCAATCTTTTCCAATGCCTCCTGTGCTTGCCTGAAGAAAAGTTATCTTGTGCGCATACTTCCAGGTCCACAAGTGCCCACAGTCATTCCCTATCTCACTGATTTGACACACGTGTAACTAATTCCACTGCCAGAGTAAAACCAACTGTTGAATCTTTCATTCAGCAAACATTCATACATAAACACGCTTTCCATTGTGAGAGTGAATATTCTAGGTGATGTACTCAATAGCATGTGGAAAAAGTTCCAGACGTTTTGATTTGCAGAATTATTTCTAAAATTATAAAGTAATCTTACCCAAGCTTCACAATTTGTCTTAACCTGAAGGCTTGGAACAATATTCCACAAGACGGTAAGAAATACATAAACTGTTCTTTTAAATTCAAGTTAACATCTATTAATGAACTAGCATGGACTTGTTGAGCTAAAAGGCCTATTTCTGTGCTATAAATATTTTGAGATATGCAAATATTTGCTTGCCTAAAAAAGTCGACTTCAAAGTCAGCAGGGTCATGGTTCCCATTGTAGTAAAAACACAAGACTGTATTGTTAATTGATTGGCAGGCTACTTTCAACATAAAGTTGCAATATTCATGCGTAGAATGGATAAAGGCAGGGAAGACTTACTGTCTAGGAGGGCCACCTCAGGTTTAATTGAAGCAGTCTTCATCAGCGGCCCCATAACAACTGGAAGATATTGCTGGAATTCCTTACCAAGAATCTTGCACATTCTTGCCCAAGCAGAGATCATATAAGATATCTACGAGAAATTGAAAATTAGCCCAGTTGACAGCTTAAGTTGCAAATCTCTTACTGTTTCCTTGTGGAGCTAACAATTAAGAGTCAGGACTACAGTACTGAACATATGCACAGACAAAACTACAGCCTTACCTTTAATTTGTTAATGTAAGCTTTACAGTAATATTCAGGGAGGCATTAGTGGTTGTTTATGTCAAGATTTCATGGGTACATTTGTTTTATTAATAAATATGCTCCAATTAGTCATGGCAATTAAAAGTAATTTTAGTTTTGAAATGGATTCTTTTAAACACGAAAGAAATTGATATTCTGCAGAAGAGTGAACTATTGTTGCAGCACTTAAGCATCAGTGCTGCTAACTAAAATAACTCCAAAGACGTGAAGACATTTTTTAAAAAATTAATTTATGGGATGTGGCATAGCTGAAAAGGCCAACATTTACAATGCCGATCCAGTCTTTTATTTGAAAAATTACATTCAAAACAATTCACAAAGTTCATTTGACTCATTTCCGAGATGAAGGGCTCATCTTATGAAGGAAGATGCACAGGTTGGGGCTATACCCATTGAAATTAAGAAGAATGAGAGGTGATCTTATTGAAACATACAAGATCCTGAAGGGCAGGGGTTCAATTTGGTTTTTTTTTTTTGGGGGGGGGGGGGGGCGCCGGCGGTGGTGGAGAAAGAGGGCTCTTTTTGCGATTCTCTCCAGAGTTACTTTTGGATTTTCAGAGGCTCCCTTTTCATCCTCGCTAGTTCCATTATTGTATGTTGTAGACATGTAACAACATCCCGTTATGTATCTGAATTTTTTCTGGGGAGGGTGACCCTTTTTAGATTTAAAAAAACACAAATATATATACAGTATGTATACATAAATACATGTTGTTAAATCTTTTAGCTTGGAATCAAATGACATTTTTTGTTAATTATATATAAATCTCCCATACTACACTTTAAAAATCCATTTACCAAAGTAAAGAGTTAAATGCATACCTTATGTAAAATGATGCAACATTAATACTGATTTTCTAGGAATTATTATTTCTGCAACTAGGAAACAATTTGTAAAACAGCTTCCTGAAAACGTCTACAAAAATTGAATGTAGGATCTTGACTATCATCGAGGTAAATAGTTTGCAGAATTTCCACCTCTATTCTGTTTCTCTATATATAAACACCTGAGTCACCCTGACTGCCTCCCCTTTACAAAAAAAATCTTCTTGTGCCTCTGAAGAGATGTACTGCGTCCTGCCCTTTCCTGTCAGCATGTTGAATATTGAGGTGTTGTGAATTCCAAAACCTTGGTCAGCAATGCATAAAGTTACACAATGCATAAAAGACTTATCTACATAATCATAAATGGGTGAACTTCTGCTCAGCTTTGGCACTGCTCTACCTCCATCCATCATTTAGGCCCTGCCCTACTCACCCCTCCATGATCATTTTCTGTTACCCCATGTGTTCCCAGATGATAGACTGGGCTCCAATAGGTATTCACCTTGCTGAGTAACCCACCACCACAACCTTCTCTGACACTGTGCCCCAGAATAACTCCCCAAAGTTATCAACTCAATTTCCAGGCTTCCAACTTTGCTGCTCCTCTAACCACAGATTTTTAGCCACGGGAAGAGCAGCAAGTTCGGAGGCGGGTAAATTAAAGATTGATGCAACTGGAACAGCTGCATGGAAGATACAGAACCTGAATGGAGAAGCAGCTCTCAGCACTCTCCCTCTATTGCACATACAGGAGAAATGATCAAGATAGCAAAGGAGACTCAATAACAACTTTTAAAAAGGAGTTGCATAATTACTAGAAAAGGAAAGACTGTGGGGATTCAACGGCACTAACTTGATAGCTCTTTCACAGGGATGGCACAATGAGCCAACAGATTCTTGCGGCACAGATAGTGACCAATGAACACATTCTGTTCCAGAGAACAAAGTTTTAAAAGGACAACCATTCTATATGCAATTTCCTCACACGCTCGGATATTTAAATACTCTTGGTCAAGCAGCTATTGCTCAATTGATTTATTCACATAACAAGCCAATTTTGAAGCAGCAGCATAGGTTACAACATCTCCCTTAACTATACCCTTATCAAAGATCACATACACATATACTGACAGCTATTTTAAAGAGGTGCCTTTGAGGAGCTGCACTGCATCCTGCCCGTTCCTGTCAGCATGGTGAATATCGAATGGTTATGAATTCCAAAGATGTAGTCAGCGATGCATAAAGTTACACAATGTATAAAAGACTTACCTACAATAATCATAAATGGGGTGAACTAACTTTAACATTCTATATTATAACAGGTATTTTAATTAATGGGAATCAGCAGTAGACAACACCTGGTTTTGTCCTTTTGCTGCGTCCAACAGCTGTCACTGGCTGAGACAAACACAGACAAAGCATTTTGCTTTTGGACTATATACAATATATACCAGAATATACACAATCGAAAGTAATTTGCTACTCTTGCAGATGGACAATGAGCACTCAAATGTCATAGTCTCATTGTCAAAGGGTCGTAAAGCAAACCACCATACCTGTGGGTCGTCATCCTCCAATTCACTGGAATCCGTTTGGGTTTTTAGGAGCAACTGCATCACATCCGAGGCATCTTGCATAAACTACAACACAAACTTGTATTAATGGAATGACAATTCTGTTGGAAGCCCTTCCTCAGTGAAGCTCGAAACCAGAGGTAACCTGCCCTCCTTTTACAGAAGAGAGGTGGTGAGCAGCTTTAATAGGGGCAAAACAGCTGGATTGACTCTGGAATTCACAAGGATTATAAAAAACAAATTTCTCCAAATGGATCAAGGCAACAGGTGGGAGTCACTATTAGGGTTTCAGGAATGTAGAAAGAAATTGGGGTTTGGATATGGTCAGATTGTTAATTATTTATTGGAACTGAGAGTCAGTTCAATATTGATTGTCCGTCTCTAATTGCCCTTATGAACATGATAATTAGTCCATGCAGGTTATATCTTTCCCCAGTGGATTTGATACAACTGGGTGGTTTGCTAGGTCATTTCAGAGGGCTGTTAAGAGTAAACCACGTTGCTGTGGGTCTGCAAGTCACATGTACAGGTAGTTCTATACACGTGTTTTGTTAACACAAATTGGCTATAATGCAATTTAAGAATAGTGGACACTTTTTGGATAACGCGAACTTTCTGCTGTACAGATATAGTGATTTCCCCATAAAGCGATTTTCTATAGCACGTGGTCACATGAGAATGCAACTATTGCGTTATAGGAGAACGACCTGTACGCCAGACCAAGTAAAGACAGCATATTTCCGTCCCTGAACGACATTAGTGAACCAGATGGATTTTTACGAAGACCCAATAGTTTCATGGTCACCATGAGAAACAAAGTTTCATTCTAGTTATATTTAATTCACTGTTGTATAGAACGTTGGTGAGGCCTCTTCTGGAGTGCTGTGTGAAATTCTGCTCGTCATTATATGAAGGATATTATTAAACTGGAGATGGCTCAGAAAAGATTTACTAGAACATTCATGGGAGGGGTGGATTAGAGAGAGAGTTTGGAAAGGCTGGGACTATTTTCACTAGGGAGTAAGGGGTTGAGGGGTGAACCTTATTAAGGTTTATAAAGTCAGGAGGGGCATGGATATGGTGAATGACAACAGTAATTCCCTAGGCCGGGGAGTTCAAAACTAGGGGGCATATTTTTAAGAATGAACTGCCAGAGAAAGTGGTGGGTGCAGGTACAGTCACAATGTTTAAAAAACATTTGAATACGTTCATGAATAGGAAAGGTTTGGAGGGATATGGGCCATACAAAGGCAAGTTTGTTAGTGTGGACAGCATGGACTGGTTGGACCAAAGGGTCTGTTTCAATGTTGTATGAATCTATAACAACTATACTGAATCAGGAACAGTTTTGAAACTTTTAATGAGCTGGAGTTACCTTATCTTTACCAACAGCGAGGCCTATAAGGCTAATGCACTCAATAGTTTTCCCTCTCAGGAGCCGAAGCTCTTTCTGTACTCCATTTTCAACAATGTGCTTCAACGATGGCATGAACAAGTCGTAGTATGGGACAAATTTCTCCTCTGCAGTGTCAGCCACAGAAGCAATGGATGTCACAACTTGCTCCAATACCAGCTTAGTACCTTTCTGAACAAGCTTTGGGGAGAATAGGGAGTGGGAGGAATAAATTAAATAAAAGGTAGATAAATAAGTAAGTAAATAGACAAATTAAAGTGCTAGAGAAAAAAAGTCCCAGGGAAACTAATGGGGCTAAATACCAAAGAGTCATCTGACCTGATGGGTTGCATTCTAGGATACCAAAGGAAGTAGCTAACGAGATAGCAGATACACTGGTGGTAATCTTCAAAGAAACCTTCAACTCTGGACTGCCCTCGCTCAATTAGGATTGGGCAATAATGCTAGCCACCAACACCCATATCCCACGAATGAGGAAACATCAGTACAAAAAATAGAAGCTGTGCTTCAATTATATGTTGGTCTCCTTATCTAAGGAAGATATAAATACACTGCAAACAGTTTGGAGAATGTTTACAAGATGAGTATATGGAATGGATTGATTGTCTTATGGAGGAAAGGTTGAGCAGGCTAGGCTTGCATTCACTGGAGTTTAGAAGAATAAGAGGCAAACTGATTGAAACACAAGACCCGGAGAGGTTCTGGTGGATATAGAAAGGATATTTCCTATTCTGAGATAGAATTAGAACTAGGGGTCACTGCATAAAAGTGCAGGGTCACTCATTTAAGACAGGCATAAAGATATTATTTTCTCATTAAATCTAGAGTCTTTGGTACTCCCTTCCTCAAAAGCGGTGCAAGCAGGGTCATTGTACATTTTTAAGGATAGATAAATAGATTCTTGAGCAACAGGTGGGTGAAAGGTAATCAGGGTTAGGTGGGCATATGGATCAGCCACGATCTACTAAATGGCAGAACAGACTTCAGTAGCCTAAATGGCCTACTCCTGCTCCTAATTCATGCATTCATCACCACACATGCTCATGCACCTGTCTTCACAACTTGTAGTATGCACCAGTTAACTATGCTCCAATATCAATTAGCCAAATTTGTACTGTGCCCCCCTCCAAGGGCAATTTACCCCCTTCCTCCATGGTGCTTTGCAATAAAACTGAGCTCAATTTTCCATGTGAGTCTAATCCAGTTTCTGTTATTGAACGCAACTTCACCCCTTTAGCATTCTAATCTTATTGAGATTTAGTCCAATGCTCTATTTTCCTCTTTGATTAATTCTGTATCTGTGCACTAGCTTTTCATGATTTTGCATCTCAACACCAGAATCCCTTTAGTCCTTGACTCCTGCCCATTAAGAATTCAGAATTTGTCTTTCTCGGATTGCCTCACAATCCCTTACAATGAAATCCATCTGCCATACTTTGGCTATTCATTTAAGCTTCGCTCCTTTGCAATCTCCAGTTTCCACATGTACAACCTAGCAGCACCTGCAAACTTGGATATACATCTCATGCAAGCAATTAATAGTGAAAGAATGCAAGGAATAGGAGTAGGCCATTTGTCCCTCTGAGCATGCGCAGACAGTAAAGATAGTGACTGATCCAACTGGCTTTTATTCCACTTTCCTGCCCTGCCCATAATCTTTGAATCCCATGTCAATCAAAAATCTGTCTCACTCAGTCCTGAATACATTCAATGACACAGCCTCCACCAATGGGGAACTGATAAATATATTATGAAGAGTTCAGGCCCCAATACAGATCCCCAAGGAACATCATTTAACCACATTCTGTCAAAGACATTACCCTACATCAATGATCAACCTTATTATTTTAACTAACTCAAATTTTGATTGCATTCCACTGCAAGTCAGGTCAATGTTTACGAAGGTATGATGTTTTACAATAAAGTTTTATCAATTTTTACAAAGACAGAAGTGAACTAACTAAAAATGGGTATTTAAGTACCAAAATTACTTACCTCCTGCAATTTAGCTACCATGATAACATGTAGGTGATTTACTAGATTATCAAGATATGGGAGTAGCAGCGACTTGGGGCAATCTTCAGTGAAATTAATGAGAGCAGCAGCAGCGTGAGCTTGAACTCGTGGATTCGCCTGATCTTCCATCGTCTGCAAGAGTGCTGAAATGACCTATTTGAAACAAAAATAAATACTGCCATCTGAACATGTATCTTTTACATTCCAATTACTTCTCCAAATTCCTGAGAACAGCCAGACAGAATGAAAATCAATTATAATATTCTGCTGTAACTTCAAAATCTGAAAAAAGAACTGAACAGACTGAAGGCAAAAAGAGTCAAATTGTCAGCTGTGTTTATGTTAGCACAAAGAATTTACAATTTAACGTAAAAGTATAAAGTTTTATCATTGCTTTACAAAGATGAATAGTCAGAGATTTCATGTCCCAAGAGATAATGCTTACTTTATCATGAAACTTCCTTTGAAAAGTTGGTGCAAAGTCAGTCGCCATTTGGCCTATTGCATTGCAAGCTGCATATCTTACTCTTGGGTGCTGAAATGAAAGCAAAAGGAAATCATATTTCAAATTCAGTAATATTCCTGCAGCCCAACATAAAAAATGGACAGGTTTCAATATGTAGAGTATCCAAAGTTAACCACATAAAACCATTGCCTCAATACACAACTGAGTTATTAGTTAGATATATTGAACACTGCTTGAGGTAGGCAGTGCCTTTTTCATTTCTACCAAGTAAAGATGTTTGAAAATCAACCTTCCTCAGCTAAATTTTAGTCACCAGAGGAATCTAATACATACTGGATCACAGGAAGCAAAATCTGATCTCTCAGCGAAATAGCTAGCCTTCATGCGCAAGCATTCATCACTGGGAACGAAGAAGGATTTATTTCACTTACTGGATCTTGAAGAAACAGCAAAACAAAATTCACAATCTCATTCAGAATCCCCTCCATTTGCTGATGACAACCTTCCCCGATAGCAGACAAGGCCATCAGACCCGCATGTCTATATTTCCAATCAGCTGCAAGGAAACATCACAATCTATATTCAAATACATAATTACAGTAACTTTGTCATATAAAGTATTAAGACACTCCACAGGAGTGCAGTCAAAGAAAAACTGAGCAGACTAAAGTCAGTATTTAGAGAATTGACTATAAACATGGGTCAAAATTTTGGTGCAAGGTTCATTTTAAAACGAGTTGAGAGATGGAGAAGTTTAAAGGGGGAATTTCAGAGTTTAGGGCCTTCATAAATGGAGACGTGGCCAAAGATAATAAAAATACTTTTTGGGGAGCTGGTGGCATAACATTAAGATCACTGGACTAGTAATCTGGAACCCCAGCTAATGTTATGGGGATAAAACAAAGAACTTCAAATGCCGCAAACAAAAAACAGAAATTGCTGAAGAAACTCCACAGGTCTGGCTGCAGCTGGTGAGAAAGCAGAATTAACATCGAGCCCAGTGAACCCTCTTCAGAACAGATAGTAGCTAGGAAAAGGTGGTATTTATGCTGAACATCACATTGGGGGAGGGGGAGATCAAAAGTAGGTAAAAATGGGTTGGCTGTGCTGAAAGCAACCCATGTCATGACACAGTCTAGAGTGCGGAAGGAACATGGAAGATGGTACTCAGGTTCTAAAATATTGAACACAATATTAAGTCCAGAAGACTGCAGGGTCTCCACACAGAAGCAGATGCTGTTCTTCCAGCTTGCACTGAGCCTTGCAGCAGCACTGCATCAGGCCCCAAAATAGAAATGTTGACCAGGGAACATGTTGGTGTGTCGAACTGGCAAGCAACTGGCAGTTAGGGGTCATTTTTGCAGACAGAACATAGGCGTTCCAGAAAGAGATCATCCAGTATGCATTTCCTCTCCCTTGTGTACAGGAGACTGCATTGCAAACAGCAACTACAGTAGACTAGGAGAATCGCTGTGTCAGCGATGGTCCCCATTATCAGCTTTTCTTCTTCCCGAACATACTATTATCCATCCATTTGTCTCCCTAATGCAACCTGTCTTTAGAATATATAACACCTTTTCCTAGCTATTATCAGTTCCGAAGAAGGGTCACTGGGCTGCAAATGTTAACTCTGCTTTCTCTCCACAGGTGCTGCAAATCTGTTGAGTTTCTCCAGCAATATCTGTTTTTGTTAATGCTATGGGGACATGGGTACAAATCTCATCATGGCAGATGGTGTAATACAAATTCAGTGTGAGAATAGAATTTAAAAAGGCTAGTCTAATGGCAACCATGTAACCGTTGTAAAATCTCAAAAATCCATGTGGTTCATTAATATTCTTTAGGGAAGGACATATTTAACTGCTCTGGCCTGCATGTGACTCCAGATCAACAGCAATGTGGTTAACTGTTCTCCTGGCAATGAGGGACGGACAACAAATGTTGGTCTGGACTATCAACACCCAAATCCCATTAACGAGTAGAAAAAGTCATTGTTATAATAGAAAGCTAATCCACGCCAAGTGAAAGGACACTAATGGCCTGACCCTTTATTTTAGTCATGTGGTCTGTTGTACAAATGCTGTCTGGTCTTCCAAGTGGACCCTTGACAAAACTAGATTAGTGCTAAAACCATCTGAAGTTAGGCCTTGAACTGCGACAGATGGCAACTTGTTGACAAATGGGATATTTCAGTCTTCTAAGATGCACAAATGATTCAGTTAAGGGTTGAACTCTGCAGATAAACGAGGGTGGGGAAAAAGGATCAGCGGCAGAGCAACTGTCCCACAAGCAACACTGTTTCCAACTGATGGATTACTCAAGAGTTACAGCAGCTTTTATAAGCCTATGGAGGCTAAAACAACAGGACAATAATTTGGAGGGCGAGAAATCACGAGACTCTGGCGTGAACAAGGGCAAGTTAACTACAGGTACAGCATACGGAGTGAAAAAGTTTGCATGAGGCTGGGGAAGAATTAGCATGCAGTAACTTGTTTTCTCTGAGCTAAGAGAAGGGAGGGTTTGGAAGTTAAGCCTGCTTGAATAGTCAATAATAGCCTTGTTAGTTCTCATAGAACAAATACAACTAGTGCACACTTTCAGAACCCTTATTTTCCTACCAGTTAGAAAACATACTGTGCGCCCCTGCCAAAACAAATGATACAGCACAAGAGACAACAGAGACTTATTTTCCCATGACTCTTCCAAAGTGTTACTAGAATTTTTCATTTTTTGATATAATCCTGCAATGCAAAACCATCCTTGCATTTCATAGTCACTACTCTATTTCCAGTTCTAAAAAAATGGATATTTGGACTTGCATGAAAATCCAACGGAACAAAGATGACGATTTTCACTCATTCATGTTGGGTTTTGTTGTTTTTTTGTTAATAGAGTGTGAACATACAGTAATCAATTTACGTTTGTTACTAATTATAGGAGCCAAATATAAATAGAATTAGAAAAGTTAATGCTGATTATCTCCAAATAAGACTAACTTGTGACAGGATTATTTAAAAAATTCTGAAGTTAAAACAATATTCCACTAATTCTACTCATTTAATGAGGGGGTATGTGATATAATCTAAACACTATAGCCACCATACTGGCAGTCTGCATTCAAACTGACATAACATTCTATTGAAGCCCTTCAGTCTCGATTGTAAAATGATACCAGACTTCAATTTGGCATCCAGCATCCCTCCTCAAAGAACACGAACATAAATAGTTTTATTTTTAAAATGTTCAGACTGCCAAGAACCATAGATATCTGGACAAAAAGCATCAGTGAAACATTTTTTTAAAAAGGTATTAGGGGAATATTGCTCCTCTTGACCTCAACTCTACCTTCCAAGGTGGTAGAGATCGCAGATTTGGATTCTCTATGATGCAGATTGTTGTCACTATGTTGGTGGTGCAGTGAATGGGGTTTTGATCAAGCCTTTTATGGCACCGTTGCTAAGAAAAGGATAGGCAACAACTAAAATATTTTAAAAGTGCTTGAAAAATTCAGCAGGTTAGCTCTTCTGAAAGGTCACAACCTGAAACTTGAAACACGTCTCTCTCTACATGCTGTCCAACCTGCTTTGCTTTTCTTGCATTTTTTGTGTTTCAGATTTCAATAACCACAATATTTTGCTTTTATACAGGCAAACACTTAGTCTAGCTCGGAAACCAACTTTCAAGAGGGCTCAGTGTGGACAATCGTCTTTATTCAGCAATGTTTGCTTTCCCTTTGAGGCAGTGCCTTGTGAACGTGTTAGAAGTAACATGATTTTAATGGAAGAAAATAAGCTAAGCCTCAATAGGGCAACATTTTTACATTATGCAATTGAAACCTCAGAATGCAGCATACTCACGGTTTTGCAACATTTGCATGATGTGTTCTTTTATCAGTGGAAGCACTACTTTACCACCGAGACCACAGGCTATTCTGTCCAGTGCACTTTCACCAGCAACAGCATTGCTATGTTAAAACAAAAAGGGAGAACAAGTTTGCTGCCAATTTCAAGCAAAGTTGTTAAAATAATGAACTTCATGCAATCTTTTGTTAAGTATTTGAACGACAATAACCAACTGAAGTCAAACAAATGATGAACGGTCAAAGAGTTAAATTTCAAGAAATGTCTCATCCAGGGCAGGAAAAGGAGAAAGGGAGAACAAGGAAACAAGAGAATTCCAGAGCTTAGAGCCTTTTGCAGCAGAAAGCTCAGCTGCTGATAGTGGAGTAATTAAAAATCAGGGTGAGCAGCAGGCCAGATTGGAGAAGCACAGATCTCAGACTCATCGGAGCTTTCAGAGTTCGGGGTGGATGTGGCCAAGGAGAGACTTGAAAGTATGGAAGAGAATTTCAAAACTTGCATATTGCTGCACTGGAAGCTGAAGTATGTCAGTGACCATAAATGGGTGAACAGAACTTGGAGAGTTTAGGTATAGGCAGCAAAATTTTGAGTAACTCAGAAGGTGTGGAGAGCTCAAATGTTAAGATATTTAAAAATGCTGATTTGCCAATAATTTCTAATTTCATACTACACTTGATTTATCCATGGTAAATGAGCTGATATACAATTCTAGTAAACAAAGCAGCACCAAGATGAAACAGGACACAGACCGTAACACAGATTTTTTTGGATTAAGACTGAAAGAACTGCAGAAGTTACTGGAAAAGTTCAGCAGGTTTAGCAGCATCTGTGAAGAAAAACCAGGGTTAACAGAGCTCAGTTATGAGGAAGGGTCACTCGATCCAAAATGTTAACTGATTTCTTTCCACAAATGCTGTCAGATCTGTTGGGTTTTCCAGTAATTGCTCTTTTGTTAGATTTTTTGGGGATGGGCTGGAATCCACCAGGCTGCACTTGTGTGTTTTATGACAACCACTTAAGGAGGGTGTGTGTGTTCGGGGCCAGTTAACTATCCCACTTATCTGCCATGAAGTGTTTGAACTTGGACAGGAAGCAATGCCTTTTATGAATAAGATGAGTGTGCAGCACAGTAACGATTAAACTTGTGGATCTCGTCAACTGGTAACAGCAATATAGTCGGCCATCAAGCATAATAGCTTCAACAATCTTTGCTCTTCTTTTTCGATGGATAATTTTTTCATCCTGGAAGATATTTGCTGCAAAGCAATCCATTTATCATGAAATATTAAAACATAATAACATCAAGAAACAACAATATTGGCACTAACCTGACCAGTACAAATAATTAACTGATCAGATTTTAAGGTAATGTTGAGGACAAATTGTCAGAAAATTCATTCAAAATTACAAAACAGATTCCTTGGTATAATGCTGATTTTACCAACACTACTTGTCAATAAGCTTGTTTTCATTAAATGCAAATTACCTGTCAAAGTCATCATCTTCAAGTTCATCTGAATTTGACCAGTTTTCATCATTCTCTAAATCCACCATCATTGCCAGCATCTGTGGAACTGAATGAAGATATTTTTTAAGAGAAAAATACAGTAATTGTTAATGTTCACTTTTACAAATTAACACCTTTTTTTAAGTAGGCAAGGAAAAATTAGACTGCAGCACATGCTTTAAAAGATGCTCATTACCAGTCTTGCAAGTCTACATGTCAAGCTATAGCTTCGTTGGCAGAACACATTCCTCTGAATCAGAAGACTGCCTGATTCAAGTCCCATTACTGAGCCCAAGCACAAAACTCAAGTCAGAGACTTCAGTGAAATGCAGAGGGGGTGGGGCAATATTGAAGACACTATCTTTCAAGCCGCATCCACTCGCTCAAGTGGACATAAAACATCTTCAAAATAAGAAGAGCAGGGGAATTGCCCTGGTGTCATGGTCTATGTTTTCCTCAATGTCACAAAGAAACAAATTATCTGGTCAACCTCCATTGTTAATTGAAGGAGTATGCAGAGCTCATACTGGCTGAAACTTTTCTAGCATTATGGCAGTGATACCACTTCATAAAAAGGGAAAATACTTTGAGATGCCCACTTGTCACTGAAAGCACTCTGAAAAACTAAAGCCTTTGTGTCCGTTACATCTCATTGGGTCTGCATGCTAAGAATCAAAGCCTACTGCTCCCGGAGTCCTCACAGAAGTTAAAAGTTTTATAAAAGAACAAAGTTTCCCAATTTACCTGTCTTTTAGACCTATGTCAACAGAAAGCATGCACAAGATTTCTGTACTTAACAAGGATTATTACTAATCACTGATAAATAGGTTCTAGCTAATAATAAGCAGTCATGAACCGTTGACATATCACCCTCCCAGTTAAAACTCTACCCCACCTATAAGCCACCCAATACACCCACACACACACCACACCACTCAGACATAGTCAGGCACAAAAAAAAAAAAAAACGGGTGTCAAGGGCAGACAGAAAGACTGGGAAGGCAGTTCAATGGTCCCTGTACACAGGGATTGTTGAGATGATTGTTTTGGCTTGTCAGGATGTACTGATCTTTGATCTTCTTACTCCAGGAACTTTCACTTGCCTGTAGGAGGCACAGGGCTATTGGTTCACACTTGTGTTTCTGACTTATTAAGCCACAGCTTACAGCAAATGAGGGGGAGAAAACTGGCTTTTTTCAGAAACAAAAACATATTGCTGGAAGAGCTCAGTAAGTCTGGCAGCACCTGTGGAGAGAAATCAGTTAACGTTTTGAGTCCACTGACCGGTCCTCAGAACTGATGGCAGCTAGGAAAAAGTTGGTTTATATGAGAAGATAGGGTGGTGGGGAGCCGGTAAAGAGTAAACAATAGGTGGAGATAGAGTCCAAAGAGAGAGAAAAACAGCTGGACAGACAAAGGAAAGGAAAATGGTCAGCCTAAGAAAATGACTAGCTACTAATGGGGACTATTAGTGGCTAACAATGGATTGTGTATAATAGCAGACCATGTGATAACAACACCTGGTGTCGGGGGCTTGGGGTAAGGACATGAGAAAAGGTGCCTCAAACCCTAAAACTGTTGAACTCAATATTAAGTCCAGAAGGTTGTAGAGTTTCAAGTGGAAAGTGAAATGCTGTTCTTCTAGCTTGCATTCATCTTTGCCGGAGCACAGCAGCAAGCCTGAGTCAGAGACATTGGCCAGCAAACAGGGTGGTGTTGAAGTGGTAGGCAACTGGAAGCTCAGGGTCTTTAAGAGTCACAGAGATATACAGCACAGTAAGAGACCCTTCAGTCCAACTCATCCATACCGACCAGATATCCTATATAAATCTAGTCTCTTTGCCAGCATTTGGCCCATATCCCCCTAAACCTTTCCTATTCATATACCCATCCAGATGCCTTTCAAATGTTGTAATCTTACCAGTCTCCACCAGTTCCTCTGGCAGCTCATTCCATACACACACCACCCTCAGTGTGAAAACGTTACCCCTTAGATCCATTTTATATCTTTCCCCTCTCACTTTAAACCTATACCCTCTAGTTTGGTGTCCCCCACCCTGGGCAAAAGACCTTGCCTATTTACCCTATCCATGCCTCTCATGATTTTATAAACTTCTGTAAAATCAGCCCTCAGCCTCCAACACTCCAGGGAAAATAGTCCCAGCCTATTCAGCCTCTCCCTATAGCTCAAACCCTCTGACCTCAGCAATATTCTTCAATCTTTTCTGAACCCTTTCTAGTTTCACAATATCCTTCCTATAGGAGGGAGACCAGAAACAGACCGTAGGTGTTTTGCAAAGTGGTCACCCAGTTTACACCTCGTTTCTCCAATGTAGAGTCAACCACATTGTGAGTAGCGAATGGTTTTGAGGTGGTTTTTGTTTTCCACTGCCTAGAAAAAAAGCAGCTCCTTCCCTGTTAGGTGTCCAATGGCTTCTGTCCAAGCAGTAACACTCAAGCTGTTCAGTGATCACTGTTGCTGACAAGCAGAGGCTTTTGTCATTGATAGCTGATCAGCACTCTCCAGACCAATCAGCTGCTCGTTGCTAGCCATATCATCATTGACACACACGACTCCAGTTCAACTTCAATGAGACCTTCCCCACTGCTTGAACAGACTGCAAAAAAACAACGATACAAAAAGTGCCAGGTAACATGCTTTTTAAAAGTGCAGCAATCCTGTGTTTTTAAAAGCAGTCTTTTGCCCACTTCAGTTCATAATCAAAAAACACAAAATTAAAAATATACAGCTACAACCAGGACTGCACTTGAAGAATTTCACATGACGTTAAAACAAACACATTGTTAAAATAAATCAGCTAAATCTAGATGTAGTTCATTCATACTGAATTGACATTCTGTAATTTTAGGCAAAGCATTGGTGTGGAAACTGTAGAAATACATCTAAAATTCAACACAATAAATTTCATATCAAATACCCAAAGTCTGACACTGAAGCATGTAAGAAAATACTTGGGAAGGTAACCAAAGATTCCTCAAAGGAACAGGTTCTTAAGGGTCACTTAACAGGCAGAGAAAGAGGTAGAGTTTCCGAAGGGGTACTCCAGAGCTTAAGCAAGGGAAATCATGAATTTGCAAGAGGCCAAAATTTGAGGGGTACAGAGATGTACAGAGATCCTGAGGAAAACAGGGTAGGAATAGGTCCCAGAGAGATTTTCCAACCATGCTGGAGTCACAAAGGGAGCAAACCAAGATCATTTAAGAAAGAACAGCACAAGGCAGGAGAAACCTTAGAGTATTGAGAGGGTTGTGGAATGTACTTCTAGGGTTAGAACAGGAAACAAAAATGTCAACCTTTAACACCAAACTGGATAGATGGTTGAAACAAGAACAGAGCAGGTCTGTTTTCTCCCCAGTGCATAAATGCTGTCATCAAATGGTTGGGCTGAATGGCCAGTTTCCATGTTGCAACGTCTAGATATACCACCTGGTACATGTATGAAACCCAAATCCAAGCAACGCTAACAGTTACTTACTAGCTTGTGATACAATATTGCTGTGTTTTCGTAGCATGGCAGAAGCTGTCTCAGACAAAGTCACAATCACTTCCAGTGCCAGCTGGCGCTGCATGTTTTGCAGTGTAGTATCTGCACAGAGCTATAGTGTAAAATAGGTAAACATTACCATAAAAACATTAGCAATAAGTATACTACTACTACATCAAGTACGACCAGTCAACATATCTAGATTAAAAGCTAACCAGAAACCAAATACTGCACACAGACAAGTTAACCTTTTGCAGACACTGACCACCCAATTTACAAGTGCTTTCCTCACTTCTACACTCCACAAACCAATTACACTCCCTTCAGATTCAACATCTATTTACCCAGTAGAATTAAAATTCTAAATGCTTCCATCACAGACCTGAAACAGTAACAGTTTTCTTTCCACAATTGCTGCTTGACTTGGTATATTTTCAGCATTTCTGCTTTTATTTCAGATTTCTAGCATCTGCAGTATTTTAAATTTGCAGTTGGAATCTAGTTGCACAACAAAATGTATTATATTGATAAGAAAATAAATACAAAAAAGCTATTGCGCATCTTCTGACTGCACTTTACAAACTTGTAATTGCTACCTCAGTGGTCAAATGGGATCACCTGCAAGTTCCCCTTCACCTCACTAACTCAAATTCTTTCACTATTACTGTGTCAACATCCCAGAATTCTCTTGCCAAGAGCATGGTGGGTATATTCACAATGCACAGACCGCAACAGTTCAATGTCAATTAGGGATGAGTAATAAATGCCAGCCTTGTCAGTGATGATTACATCTTTATTAAGTAATTTAGTGCATAATATTTAAACACATACAACCATCATGAATTGGTGTGAATTAGTTTTAGAATTAGTTCTAAAACATAAAACCCTCAAAAGTTTGATATTTCAATTTTAGGAGGCACAAATCTATAATTTGGAATGGCAACTGGAATGCTGCAGGAGTCCGTGTTGGGACCATGACTATTCAAGTTAACGTACATCGATCTGCACAAAAGGAATTGAGGTCACTGTTGTTAAGTTTGCAGATGACACAAAGATAAGCAGAGGGACAGTTGAGGAAGCAGGGAGGCTGCAGAAGGACTTGGACAGGATAGCAGAATGGGCAAAAACATGGCAGATGGAATACAAAATGGAAAAGTGCAAGGTTATGCATCTTGGTAGGAAGAATAGAGGCATAGAGTATTTTCTAAATGGGGACAGGCTTTGGAAATCTGAAGCACAGAGGGACTTGGGAATCCTAGTTCACTTTTCTCTTCAGGTTAACATGCAGGTTCAGTTGGCAGTTAGGAAGTCAAATGCAACGTTAGCATTCATTTCAAGACGGCTAGAATACAAGAGCAGAGAGGTACTGCTGAGGCTGTTTAAGGCTCTGGTCAGATCGCATTTAGAATATCGTGAACAGTTTTGGGCCTTGTATCTAAGGAAGGATGTGTTGGCATTGGAGGGGGTCCCACTGGAGGCTTACAAAAAGGATCCAAGGGGTGAAGGGCTTGTCATATTAGGAGCAGTTGAGGACTCTGGGTCTGTACTCAATAGGAGTTTAGAAGTATGAAGAAGGGGATCTCATTGAAAGAATACCGAGAGGCCTGGATAGAACAGAGGTGGAGAAAATGTTTCCACTAGTAGGAGAGACTAGATCACAAGGGCACAGACTCAGACAGAAAGGACAACCCTTTAGAACTGTGATGAGGTTGAATTTCTTCAATCAGAGGATGGTTAATCTGTGGAATTCATTGCCACAGAGGGCTGTGGAGGCCAGTCTTTGAGTGTCGTTAAGACAAGAGACAGATAGGTTCTTAATTAATTGGGGGATCAAAGGTTACAGGGAGAAGGCAGGAGATGGGGTTGAGAAACAAATCAGCCATGATCGAATGGTGGAGCAGAATTGATAAGCCAAATGAGCTAATTCTGCTCATGTCTTATGGTCTTATTAGCTGAATTGCCTCCCACTAGGATTCATTCAAAATACTTATGCTGAACTGATTGATCAAATGACTAGTATCCAGCTGAACAATAGTCTTAAATTTGACTTTATTCAAAGGTCAAATTCAAACTGCATTTATACAAGTTAATTTATACAACGGGAGAATAAGCACAGATTTGTGCAAAGCTTACCTTCAGGCTTAATGTTAAGGTGGGTTCAAGATGAGGACGTAAATATTTTGGTGCTGTGTCTGCAAGCTCCACTAATGATTTCAGCACTGAATCATCATTTTGATAGCAGGAATCATTGACAGCCTAAATCACAGGACAAGAAATGAGGAAAACAGAAAGTTAAAGACTTTTGAGATTGAGTGAATACTTCTATGTTTTAGGACACTGTGGCTCATGTAAACTTTCAGGATCAAAAACTCAAATCAAAATGCAATTAACCTATGAAACTTCCACTTCTGTTCAAAATTCTCAAGAAACAAAATATAAATAATTGCAATTAAATAGCATTCACATAGCAGGAATAGGGACAGTACAAGGGTCAGTTACCTCAGTTGGTTGGATAGTTGGTTAGCAATACAGAGTGACACCAACAGGGTGGGTTGAATTCCCACACCAGCTGCGGTTACCACGACTGTTCCACTTTCTCAACCTTGCCTTTTGCTCAAGGTGTGGCGACCCTCAAGTCGAACCACCACCAGTCGACTCTATTGTGCAAGCAGGCCTCCAATCCGCTGAGAAAACTAAGACTTTACATTTACAGCGCAGGAGCAGGCCATTCCGTCTGTTTGCGTTCATTCACACAAAAGCCACCGCCCCTCCCCAGGCCCCTATCCCACTTTATCTAACTTGACATTCTTCTATTCTTTTCTCTCATATGCTGATTTCAAATTCCCTTAAAAACACACTGTTTGAATATTCCTCACCTTCTAACCAGTAAACTTGAAAATTTACCTGAAGTCATCATCAGATTTATTAATGACCCTTATATTTATGGATATCCTTGCAATTGAAAATATCTCCACGTCTATCCTATGAAACCCTGAATAACTGCTTGCCAGTTGCGAAGTTACACAATGAGCAGAGCTCACCCATAATACTTTGGCTATTAAGAATGCATCTAGATTCTAATAATGTACATTGCTGAGTTTAAGATATAAATGCATACTTTGCAATGTAGGCTCTCTCACAAAGATTGAAAAAATTCCATACCTGTAGGATACCAGGCAGCATGTCGGCAAAGTGTTTTTGCAGCGGGGTATTATTCTCATTAGCCAGCACAAACGCTGCTGCAGCCCTGGCAGCAAGCATTCGAATCTGCCAAAAGCAGCAAATAATATCTTTAGAATATCTTTAAGGAAGTTTTAGACCTCTTAACTAAGGAAAAATAATTAACATTGAAGAAAACTACAACATAGATGAACAGGGAGGAATATATTGGTAGACTACATATTCTCATGAGATTTAAGAGTGTACATTGGTCTTTTATATGTCCTGATATTCTTATCTCTATAATCTTATTCAATCCAACAATATGACAAGACCTTCACCCCACACAAATTCCAATCTCCAGTATATCCTCTACCATCAATGACTTTATCTTCATTTACTTAGGCTCTGGGTTCTGCAATTCTCTTCCAAGGTCTACCCTAAGATACAAGACATCGAATAAGATATTGCTTAAAGCCTAATCTTGACCAGGCTTTGGGTCACCTGTCTCAAGCAACATGGGTTGGTTTCAAAAATTGTTTGATAATGCTCTTGTAAAATGCATGACTAGCTTAAAGGCATGACATAAATGCAAGATGCCTCGGGTCTTTCGGTCAACATCAATGCTGCACACTTCAAGGCTGCCTGTTCAGATTTCTGCAACCAAATGTTTTAGCCAACCTTTTTTGCAAAGATCAATGGTAAGCTCGGATATCACCAAAAACTTTAGGGTGCAAGGAAAGACAAATGAAAACAGGGAATGTCCTCTTTTCACAACAGTAGCTTCCATATTCAGGCAGATTCTTAAAAAGGTCAATTTCTTTTATTGAATTAAGAGAGAGACTGAGGTGGGCACGATAGGGCACAAGGTTAAACTCAACATGAGAAACCAAAAACATTCACATTTCTGTTGAATTGGTGTGATCCCAAGAAACAGAAGCAGGAGCAACCATTTATACCCCTCAGGACTGTTCCACTATTCAATAAGATCATGGCTAATCTGATTGCAGTCTTATCTCCACTTTCCTGCCTACTTCACCATCCCACTTTCAATCACCAACTACGTTACAGATCACAAATTTATCTAACTCAGCCTTGAATATATTAAATGATCCAGCTTTAAATGTCTTGGTGGTAGAGAATTCTAAAGATTAAAAACCACTAAAACAGAAATTCTTCATCTCAGTCTTAAATTACAACTCCTATTCTAAAACTATAACTCCTAGTTCTTGACTTTCCCACTAGGCCATCATCCTCTCAGCATCTCCCCTGTCAAGTCTTATTTAGCTTAGCCAATCCTTTAACTATGTTAGTGAGCTACCATCAACAATATAAGCTCTTATGCAGTAAACTTTTCATGCAGCAGCTTATCAAATAAACATCTTGTGGAATCAGAAAGCCCCAAGTGTTAATCAACAGGAGTTGCTTTTCAAAAGGGCAAGAAGAAAATGCACATTTACACAGAGACAATGAAAACACGCAGAAAGTTATTCAATTCCATTATCCATATTGCTTTCATTTTACAAGAATGAGAAGACTTCTTGTAGCAATAATAGTATCTTTTGTTTGTTTTATACAGCATTTATTCATTTTACATCTGTGGAATTCCCTGCCTAGTGAAGCTGTTATGGCTACCTTGCTGTAAGCTTTTATGGCAAAGATAGATAGATTTTTGAACAATGAAGGAATTAAGGGTTACAATGAGTGAGCAGGTAAGGGGTCTATGAAAAAATTAGGCATGATCTTATTGAATGGCAGTGCGGCTCGAGGGCCAGACAGCCTATTCCTGCTCCTATTTCTTATGTTCTTACGTTAATGGGATGTACACCCATATCTCATATACTGTACCTACAACCGTCGCTATTCATTAGCTTTTTAGTCTTCTAACCGACAATTCAAAAAGCTGAGAGTTTCTTTATAAAGCACAGTAGGAAACAGTGCTAACCCACATTGGCAGTCCTCACCGTTGAGTTTTCTTGATCTTGCATGCATTGAAGTAACATTCGTTTGATAACATCAAGATAATGTTGCTGTTGGTTTCCAAAAATTCCTGGGAAGTTCCTATTAAATGTAGGGTGGTATTAAAGTCAAATCATATTCTAATTCAGAGTTAACCAATACTTTATGTATTTTAGAATTATCATGCAGTAGTTGCTTTTAAAAACGAATCGAGGAAAAAAAATGTACATGAACAAGTATAAACACCACTGCAAATATATACAATTTCATCATCCACACTGACTTCATTTTACATGTACAGTAATCAGCACATGAATGTTCACGAATTTCATTAAATGCTGTGGTTAGCCTTACACAAATTCTGGTGCCATCACTAGTGTGCATGCATTAGCTAGTCACTCCCAACTCTTCACAGCTTTTCTTGTTTCTGTCCTCATCTGAAAGCTGCTGCATCTTTAAACTTAACCTAACTCTGGCAGAAGGTCAACCTGAGATGTTATTTTCTCTGCAGAAAGAAAATGTTATCTAAACTGCTTAGTATTTCCAGAAATTTGATTGAAGTCTGGAAAAAGGTGGAAAATGTGCCTGGAGATGAAATTCCATTTGTCTTTCAAGTCTGGACGTGGAGAAAGATTTCTATTTGAAATGTACCGATATGAGTAACAAACTACAATCTCCACAGGGAACAAAGGCCTAACAATGAACTGATTTGAAATCACATCAGAGAAAACTGCAGAAACCTTACATGCTTTGTGGTATCCTGGGGTTTCAAGCTGTCAATACCATTTTCAGTACAAAACAGAACAGTTTCACTTTTCCATCTGATCTTTAATTCATTCTCAGTAATGAAATTAGTATTAGAAGGAGCCGTGCATAGTAGGACACTTGTCAAGATCACATTTCTACAGGTTAATGTTGGAAACAGTGCACAAAAGACAGGATAAATTTAGAACTCCAAAGCATCACCAGATGATTTTCAAAGCATAAATCTTAAGGTGTAAGACCTGAACCAGCAGGTCTTAAGCAATAATTACAGAATTCAACTCCATAACTAAAAGGAGAGGCAGCAGCATAGTGACGTTTTCACTGGACTAGTGATTCAGAGATGCAGACTAACACCCTGATTCAAATTCCACCACAATTGATGATAGAATCTGATTTCAATTAATACAAGTGGAAGATACCGGTTGATGCAAAATCCCTATGCGGTTCACCAATATCTGTTAGTAGACATCTGACCATCATCACTTGGTCTGGCCTACATGTGATTCCAGATCCACAGCAATGTGATTGACTCTTAAATGCCCTCAAAGACTTGTAAGCACTCAACAAACAAGTGTAATTAGAGATGAGCAACAAATGTTGGCTTTAACAGCAATGTTCATATCTCATGGTGAAACAAAACTCAGATCATACAAAAATCGTTCCATTTTAACAATTTCAGATTGATTTGGATTTAGCCGTCACATCTCAATTATACAATCATACAGCATGGAAAACAGACCCTTCGGACCAGCTCGTCTGCTCCAACCAGATATCCCAATCTGACCTAGTCCCCTTTACCAGCATTTGGCCCATATCCCTCTACACCCTTCCGATTCACGTGCCCATCCAGATGCCTCAAAATGTTGTAATTGTACCAGCCTCCGCCACTTCCTCTGGCAGCTCATTCCATCCACTCACCACTCTCTGTATGAAAAACCTACCCCTCAGGTGCTTTTTATGGCTCACTCCTCTCACCATAAACTTACACCCTCTAGCTTTGGACTCCCCACCCTGGGGAAAAAACCTTGGCTATTCACCCTATCTATGCTCCTCATGATTTTATAAACCTCTACAAGGTCATCCCTCAGCCTCCGACATTCGAGGGGAAGAAAAGGCCCAACCCATCCAGCCTCTCCTTATAATAAAAGCCCTCCAGTCCTGGCAACATCCTTGTAAACCTTTTCTGCACCCTCTCAAGTTTAACAACATCCTTCCTATAGAAGGGCGACCAGAATTGTAAACAGTGTTCTAAAAGTGGCCTGACAGATGTTCAAAAAAAAAAAAAAAAAAAAAAAGAACAGCAACTTAACAAGACCGATGGCCTGGGTTCAAGTTGCACCTGTTCAAGAGGTGTGCAATAACATTTGAAAGGTTGATTAGAAAAATAGTTTAAACAAGGTAGATTGGTGGGGGGGCGGTGTCATATGGAAGGAGAAAATGTAATGAATGCACAACAAAATGTTAAAACTCGCATTCATCTCAGTTCAGCAGTGATATTTGTATCACTGAAAGCCACAGTTGAGGTGCTGGAAGACTGGAGGGTGGCTAATGTGGTGCCATTATTTAAGAAAGGCTGCATGGAAAGCCAGGGAACTACAGACCGGTGAGCCTAACACCAGCAGTGGGTAACTTGATGGAGGAGATTGAGAGACAGGATTTATATGCACTTGGAAAGGTAAGGACTGATTATCATAGAATCCCTACAGTGTGGAAGCAGGCCATTTGGCCCATTAAGTCCACACTGGCCCTCCAAAGAGCATCCCACCCAAACTCACCCCATCCCTGCAACACTGCATTTCCCATGGCTAAATCCACTTAGCCTGAACATCCCTTGACACCTTATGGCAATTTTTTTTTTTTAAGCATGTCCAATCTACCTAGCCTGCAAATCTTTGAACTGTGGGAGGAAACCGGAGCAAACCCACAGAGAAATGGGGAGAACATGCAAACTCCACACAGACATTCGCCTGAAGCTGGAATCAAACCCAGGTCCCTGGCCCTGTGAGGCAGCAGTGCGAACCACTAAGCGACCGTTCTGCCCCACAGGGTAGTCAGCACAGCTGTGTGTGTGAGAAATCATATCTCAAATTTGATTTGAGTTTTTTTTGAATAGATGACCGAAATGATTGATGAGGGAAGTACGGTAGACATTTTCTAATGGACTTTAGCAAGACCTTCGACAAGCATGGTAGACTGGTTAGCAAGGTTAGATCATGTGGGATCTACAGAAAGCTAGGGCAACTGGATACAAAATTAGTAAGAGACAAAGGGTGGTGGGAGAGGGTTGCTTTTCGCATTGGTGGGCTGTAACTAGCTGTGCGCTGCAAGGATGGGCGCTGGCTACACTGTTGCTCATCATTCATATAAAGGATTTAGCTGAGCGTACAGGAGGCATGGTTGGTAAATTTGCAGACGACACCAAAATTGGCGGTATAACGGACAGCAAAGAAACTTATCTACAGGTAAAATGGATCTTCATCACCTGGGCCACAGGGCTGAGAAATGGCAGATGGCATTTAATGCAGATAAATGTGTAGTGTTGCATTTTAATAAAACGAACATGGGCAGGACTTAAACAGTTGATGGGTAGGGCCCTGGGGAGTATTGCCGAACAGAGGCATCTCAGGGTAAAGGTACATAGTTCCTTGAAATTGTCACAGTTAGACAGGGTTTGAAGGCAGCATTTGGCACACTTGCCGTCATTGGTCAGAGCGTTGAGGTCGGGATGTCATATTACAACTGTACAAGACATTGTTAAGGTCACATTTGGAGTACTGCACACAATTCTGGTCACCCTGCTATAGGAAGGATGTTATTAAACTGGATTTATAAGAATGTTACTGAGACTGAAATGCTCGAGTTATATGAGGAGACTGGATAGACTGGGACTTATTTCCATGGAGCGTCGAGGCTGAGGGGTGACCTTATAGGAGGTTTATAAAATCATGAGGGGCATGGAGAGAGCGAATAGCGAAGGTCTTTTCCCCAGGATAAGGGAGTCCAAAACTACGAGGCACAGGTTTAAGGTGAGAGGAGAAAAATCGAAAGGGGACCCGAGGGGTACCTTTTTCCACAAGAGTTGTACATTATGGTGGTAGTGGCACTTGAACCTGGGTCTCCTAGTTCAGAGATAGAGATACTACCACTGTGCCTCAACAGCTCTTCACTGAAATTTAGATTTTTTAAAAATAAATCAAATGCTCTTAGACAAGCTGAACTTTTTTCGTTCCAGGATCAAATTATCCATTTTTTTTTCATCTATTAACCACCACCAGTAAATCATCCATGTTCTCCAATTGATTAATTTACATGCAAAGTCTGTTAAGGGTAATTCAGGCCACAAAAAGGAGAGGTGGGGGTAGGGGTATGGGGAGGGGGCATTGAACTTTTGACTTTTTAAAAAATTATTGACCTAATTTTTCTAATCAACCTATTGAGAGATGTAATTACACATTTCTGGAGCAGGTGGGGTTTGAACGCAGGCCTCCCAGTCTGGGGGTAGGGGCACTACTGCACCACAAGAAGACCCTACTGAACTTTTGATAGCTGTTTTCAAGACAAGCACCAGATAGCTGAATGTCCCAAGGCTGCAAGTTTTTAACAAAAAACTGCAATCATTAGATACTTTAGCATTCCAATGCAAACAGGAGAACTGAGAAGACATTAAGACATTGATAATATCTGACTATGCAGCACTCATCCACACGGAGGTCAATTCTGTGATAATGTTCTCATCCTTTGTCTCCAAATTGAAGTTTGTGCAGCTAGTCAAGAAACGGAACTTACCAGAAAATGTGCAAAGCAGCTTCACGCAACGCCACGTTCTGGGAGCTGACAGATTCAAAGAGAAATTTCAAAATTTCTGGCCATTGGTTGTTTCCATCATCATCTAAATATAAACAAGCAACATCTTCAGTCTGAATAAATTGTTCAGGAATATTGTTTGGTAAGTCATTCATTCACTCACTTTGATTAGTCTGCCTGTCATCCAAATGAAAGATTGACTTAATAAACGGAACTTACAGTTCAGGAACAGCTCATTCTGCACAACAATTTGAGCAGCCACTTCTGATTCCACTTCTTGTAATCCTACCAATATGCTTCTACTTCTTTCTCCCTCACGTACAACAAGTGCAGTGACTCTAATCGCTTAAGTGCAGTATTGAGTTTCATATTCCAAACATTGAGTAGTTTGTCCTGCATTCAATATCGGAGACTCGGATATTTATTACATTACAGTTTTTCCTCAAATTAGAACATCATCTTTGCGCCTTGGAAATTCCTGCCAGCTAAGTTACCAGTTAGATGTATGTTTACTTCAGAACATAACTAGTAGCAGTAGCAGGCAAATTCAGCCCCTCCAGGCTGCTCCGCAATTTAATATGATCATAACTGACATAATCTCAGCCTCAACTTCACTTCCCTGCCCACTGCCCATAGATTTTTAATTATTAACTGGTTAAACAGTTATCTCCTCTTCAAATTTATTCAGCATCCACTGCACTGTGCAGTAGTGAATTCAATAAATTCACAAACTCTTTGAGAGAAGCAATTCCTCATGTGTTTTAAATCTGCCACCTCTTAACCTTAAACTGTGGTCTCTCGTTCTAGCTTGCTCGAGAAGGGGAAACATCCACTCTATACTGTCAAACTCCTTTAGCACCTAATATGCCTCAAACAGATCTCCCCTCTTTCTTTTAAACTCCAGCAAGCACAGGCATAAACTGCTCAATCTCTCTCATATGGGAAACTTCCTTCAGGCTTTGTTTGGATTTTTGTGTCACTAATAATGTTCATGTAATTGCAAATGATCATATGTCGTTAATACTGCAAGGAGCTCATCCTCCAGAACTACAACCCTCTATGTTCCACCGTCTGCTCAAGATATGTTTGGCTTCACAGGTACCTGTAACCTTCCAGAATATCCCACAACTATTTTACAAGCCTCAGACTATTTCTGTGTCCATACTCTTATTTGCTCAACAAATGTCCATTTATTTCACTACCATCACCAACGGCTAAACTTATGGTATTAGTTACATTACCACAGATTTTAAAAAATGTTAAATTTGCATGGCATAAATGAAATGACTTAGTATTATATAATGCTTTTCGCAACCATCAGACATCTCCAAAGCACTTTAGAGCCAAAAAAATACTTTTGAAGTGTAACCAATGTTGTAATGTAGGAAAAATAGTAGCTAATTTAGCTCAGAAAACTCAAACATCTATGTGAAAGCGACCTAATAATCCGTATTTTACTAAGTTCATTGATGGGTAGATATTGAACAGGATACCAGGGATAACTGCCACCCTCTTCTTCAAAACGGTGCTCTGAGATTTTTTTATATCCATCATGAAATAGGCAGATAGGGCTTCGGTTTAACAGACACCACCTATCAGGGCAGCATTCCCTCAATATTGCACTGGAGTGTCAATCTTAATTTTTGTGCTCAGTCTCTAGAGTAAGATTTGAACCTGGAATCTTGTGACTCAGAGTCAAACCAGCATTGAATCACTGTTGACACCAAAAGAATGCATGTCCGGACTCAATTTTAATTAGTCAGTGAAGACGGTGTCAGAGTGTATGGCCGGAAGGAGTAGTATGCATATCAATTCAGTGCTTTTTACAGCACTGCAGTTAACACAGTTTGGATATCCACTGATGCATTGAGTAAACAGTCCAAAGGCAAACAACTTTCACACTTTATAAACCTTAGACAAAAATCAGTGTTCCAATTTACTATTAGCATGCACAAAGGAGGGGCATGAGAAGAAACAGAAGGAAAAATGCAAACATGTTCTAAATATATACTAAAATTTCCACTTAATAAAAAGTTGCTGTAAAATGCCAATTCTAAGAAACATTGAAGATCGATAAGAAATGAAGGATATTACAAGTTGCTAACCAATTAGATTCCTTGACAGCTCCGCTGCAATATCACAAGTCTTCTTCCTGATGTTAGACGATCCCTCCATTTGGATACCCAGAAGCAGTTCATCTTTGACTGCATTCTGCACATCGGGTGCTAGGCTTGGGAATACCTCATCGAAAGATGCAGACAGCATTCGCCGCATTAAAACTGCAGCCATCTGTCTTACCTGCACGTAAAGAAAAATGCGATTAACCCGCTCAGTTTATAGATAATGCAATATCTTTTAGAAGTTTAAGTTGATCATCAATTTACAGAGTTATTCCTTTGAATAACTGTTTCAATTGGCCCCACTCCTTCCCGATACCAATGGAAAATAGTTTCCTTCACCAGTTTATGTTTAATTCCCAGGCAAATTTTATTATTTAATCTGTCATCCTTTCAGGTCAGCATAATGCACCAAGCAATAAAAATTTCACCTCTCACCTCTGGTTCCTTTGCCTTAAATCTAGGTCTGCTAGTTACCAACTTTCCTACTAGTGAGAACAGTTTCAATAAGATAAATAAAAGGGAAACTCTTCATAATCATACATGGGCAAGTCTGTATTTCAGTAGTTGAAACATTCTATCAAATGCTGCAGGGCTAGACACAACACTACGTTCACAGCAAACATCCCTGTACCCAGGAGTGAATTATTAAATATATATCAGGTATATCAGGTACTTCAGAACACTAAAATGTTAATGCACATTCATGTTACATCACAGTATTGAAAGCTCAATCCTTCAACAATTCCAAATATCAAAAAAGGGTACAGAATTAGATGAATTGATTTTTACAGAAAACTGCTGGACAGAAATGACTTTCATTTTTGTCCGGTCGTTGATTCGTTGAATTTAAAATTCCATCAGGCGCCATTACAGGATGTCATGTCCCCAGAGCATCTATCTAGGCCTCTGGATTACAAGCCCAGTGACATTGTTAATATGCCAATGCCTCTCTGAACTTCAATTTCATGGAAGGTTGTGTTTTTCACAACAGAAAAAATGCCCTTTCCATCACTGTCGTCAAACCTGCTCATTGTTTTCACCCTTCTGCTCACATAAACTTGTACCGTGAAAAACTGTGAAATCAGGAATTCAGTTGAGCTCTGGAGGAAAGTTTAAGAAATTCATTGAAAACAAGCTACCTATGAAAGAGGCAATGTAGGCAAAGGCAGGGTCATTAAATTTTATTGATTCCTTTATTTCCAAAGTTAATAACCTGTGCAATTATCCTCTCAGCTGCCTCATACCCGCAGAATAAGTCATTGCCTTTTAATTCCATGCCCATACGCCATATTTGAATTTCCCTAACTTGAATTCTGCCCTTCTCATTACAAAAACTGCCTTGGCCAAAAGCACAAATGGCATTCCTGCCAAGTGCAACATCCCTCCTTAACCCTTCCATACTGCACTACACCCCTTAAAACACATATTTAATTAATGCCTTTAACTGCTAATTCACTAAAGCTTTGGAATTCTGCTCAACCTCATCACCTCTCTGAATTAAGATGGTCTGTTAAACCCATCACTTTCACAAAGCTTTAGGCCACCTTTATCATCGCATGGGACTTGTGTCAAATTCTGTTTCATAATGACTCTAAGGGCTTGGCAACGTTTTACTAAGTTATCATGACTGTGAAAACACAATCTATCATATATTCTATTAAAATAATGCCTTCATTCCAAACTTTATGAAAAACGTAAATGAGGTTTAGAAGTCATAAATAGTGGATGATAACTTTTGGTGGTGTGGAACAAATTTAGACCTCTGCTCACATTGAAATATAGCTTTAGAATCCCAATTCAATCCGTTCATACATCCTGAAGATGAAAGAATTAGAACAAGTTTTGACCACTCATCCTGAACTAAATCAACTCAAATCTTTGCTCCTCATCCACTGAACGCTTTTCAACGCTGGGCCAAAGAGAAAGTAAAAAGATTTTGATAATTACCTCTTCTGCAGCCGCTGTATTCCTGAGTGCTTGCAAAAGAAATGTGACCTTCGATTGGCCAGGGATATTCTCATATGTTTCCTGAATAACAAATACATTAAGTAATGTGATATTGTTGAAAATTGTCTTTTAAATAATATAAATGCTTGTATGTATATAAAGGTAATGAAGACTCTCTTTAAATAAAAAAAACTTTATAAAACTACAGACTACTTTTGAATCCCATTTAGTTTTGAAGTATGCATGCATGGCATTGTCTGCCATCTACACTAACTACCAGAAATGTTTTAGGGAGTTGAGCCTCTAAATCAGAAAAGAAACAGGATTCATAAAGCATAAGAACGGTTTAAAAATTGTATGCAGCAAACTATTAGATTATCTTCATTCCAAAATGGTGAGTACTTAACACACATCATTGAATGCTGCCTTAAAAAAAAGGAGCCAACTCAAATCTGAGAGCCATTAGATAAATATTTGAATTGCTAGGAGAATCCAATAAAGAAAGAAAAACATCTGACAGTCTAGTTGTAAATTGAAGACATTTATAAGTTATCCCTGAAGAAGTTAGCATCCAAGCACATTATATGATTCAAGTCTGATAACATTTAAACTGGTTTACCTCAGCGAAGCAAAGCTTAGGTTACCAAATGGAAAGACAATCTTTCCAGAAACAATCTGCCATTACCCAACACAGATTCAGTCACAAAAATACACACTAATCATTGCTGAATGCCTCACTATCACCTTGAGGGTTACCAATGACCAGAAACTGAACTAGACATGTAAATATTGTGCATATAACAGCTCAGATGCTAGGAATTCTGACACATCTGCCTGTCCACTATCTACAAAGTAGAAGCGAGGGGTATAAATAAAACATTTTCCACTTGCCTGGATGAGTGCAACTCCAACAACACTCAAAACTTGATAATACCTAGGAAAAAGCAATGTGACAGGCACCCCATCTAATACTTTCAAATATGCAAACCCTCCAACCTCAGATACACACTGGTAACAGTGTACACCATCTGCATGATGCAGTGCAACAACTCATCAAGATTCCTTAAACAGTAGCTTTCAAATCCACAACTACTGTAATCTAGAAGGATAGGGGTAACGGATGGATGGAAACATAACTTCCTGCACATTTCCCTCCAAGCCACAGATCTTCACGAGTTGGAACTATATTACTGTTCCATCACTGTTACTGGATTGAAATTCTGGAGCTCCATTTCTAACAACACTGCATGAATGGACAGCAGCTGCTAAAGATGACAGCTCACCACTACCTTCTCAAGGTGCAACTGGAGATTGGCAACAAACGCTGGCCAAGCAGTGATGCCCACTGCTTGTAAATGAATTAAAATCTGATCCAAGTGGATGAAGGAAAAGCTAATGCAATGCTTGTCTCTATTTCAAGGGAGCTGGAACAAAAGAGAGATAAAAATTATGTTACAACCTGTTGAACCTCCGAGAACCCTTTCATAGGGCTACATTCATACCTGGGCGCTGCACCTCAGGCAAGGCCTAAGGCCCTTACGGCATAGCGGTGACAATCTTTTGCCTCACAAGACATATGGTTTGTATCCTGGATGGTCAATATTGTTAAGCGTCATCAGGTTTTCTACGGGAGCCCCCTTCTTGCAAGGCAGTATCTGCTCCCTTTACTGCACAGGAAGATAATAGAGCGAAGGTGGTGTATGATTTGCTGGCCTGTTTTCCCTTCTCAAATAGCTGAGATTCAAGTTTGTGTTCACCTTTTCTGAGGCCATTCTACTCAGCCTCCAGAGGCCATGGCCCAATATACAGCAATGTCAGCCACCTTCATATTTCACTCACAGGTGTCCCTAAAGAAGTAGGGCAGGTAGAGACCCAGTGGTCAGTTCACTGTAAAGAATGTTTTTGGCTATATGGTACTTTTCCATTTGACGAATGTGGCTAAGCCAGTGCAATGCCATTGGCTTAGCAATGAGTGTATACTGGAAATAGCATGATCCCTGTCCTCAGAGTTGCTAAGGATAGATTGAGACAGTGAAGATGGAAACTGTTCAGCTTTTTCTCCTGCCAAGCACATATTGTCCATAAGGCCATAATTTGTGAAAGCAGTGGACAATTCAGCTCTTTGACTCTGCTCTGCTGTTGATCCAACAATCCTCAAGTCCAATTTCCTGTCTTTTCCCCATAACTCTCAATTCCCTTACGAATTAGGGATCTGTCTATCTCAACCTTGAATATAACTAACGACCAACCAGCACAGCCCTCTGTGGTAAAGAACTCCATAAATTCACTATACTCAAGAAATTCCTTATCTCTACCCAAAACAGGTGACCCTTTTATGAGATTATGCCAACATTCTATTTGCCTTCCCTATTTGTTGAACTTGTGTAAGCTTTTTGTGATGCATAAGGATTCCTATATCCGTGTGCTGCAACTTTCCAGTCTTACTCCAGTTAAGTAACATTCAGCTTCTCCAATTTTCCTGCCAAAGTACATAACCTCAATTTCTCCACTTTATACACCATGTCAAGTTTTTAAAATCGCTTTACTTGTCCATATCCCTCTGTAGTATCTGTGTGTCATCCTCACTACTTGCCTTTCCACCTTTTCATGCCATCCACAAACTTGGCTATTATATATTCACTTTTGTTATTCATGTCATTAATAAGAGTAAATAGTGGGTCCATCACTGACCCATGTGGCACTCCACTGGTTACAGGTTGCCATATTGAAAATACTCACTCATCCCAACTGTCTATTTCAAAGTTTTGGAGAAACTCAGCAAGTCTGGCAGTATCTATAGAAAGAGAATTAATGCATCTAACAAAGGGTCTTTGGGCTCAAAACATAAAAGGAGAAAAGCAGCGTTAATGTTTTGAGCCCAAAGACCCTTTGTTAGATGCATTACTTCTCTTTCTATAGATACTGCCAGACTTGCTGAGTTTCTCCAAAACTTTGCTTTTGTTTCAGTTTCAGAATTCCAGCATCCACAGTTCTTGGTTTTTATTTGGTCATCTGTTAGTTAGCCAATCCTTTATTGACACTAACATACTATCTCCAACCCATGGGCTCTTTTCTTATTTAGTAGTCTAACATGTGGTACCTTATTAAACGCCCTCTGCAAATCCAAATATATTACATCCACTGCTTCTCCATTATCTACCCTGTTTGTTTCTTTCTCAAAAAATGCCAATTAACGTGTCACACATCATTTCCCTTTTGTGAAGCCATGCTGCTGCTTGGTTGTGTTTCTAAATGGTCTGCTGTTACATCCTTTATAACAGACTCAAACATTTTCCCAATGACAGATGTTAAGTTAACTGACCCATAGACTTTTTTTTTTTTTTTTTTTTTTTAAGTCTACGCCCTTTTTAAATAAAGAGCTATGTCACCATTATAGAGGAGAACACTGAGGTCATAAGCTTGGTAGACTCAATTGGGTGTTCTCGGTCAGGTTGCACGTTTCACACTCAATCAGCTTGAATATAAAAGTTACAGCCTTTGTAAATTGTGTGTGTTGATAGCAGCATCATGTGACAGATTTCTGCTGATTCAGAACTTTGAATGTGAAACTACCAACATCATTGACAATGTGTCAGTGAAGGTTGATAGATGACATTATTGCAATGTCCTGGATCAGGACTTTGGTCTTCCTAGTACTGATGGCTGAATGAAACCATGCAGGAATCAGCAAGTCTATGCATTTGCCACTAAGGTTTTCCTCAGTAGTAAATGTTAGTGCATACTTGAATCTCAGCGCAGCTAGCTTGGATAGCTTTCCAGCAGTTCTGGTGTGTAAATAGACACCCTATGTGAATAACCTGAAGGCATATGACAGCATCAAAAAAGGAGACTATACTAAGAGTGTCAGTGCTAAAATACAAACTTGTTTGACCCTAATGTAGATCGCAAGAGGGTCCAATGTTAATCTGTCATAGCCGTTCTTTTACATCATGTTATGAAAAGAGTAGGTTCACGATGAACAGCCTCAGAAGGCAAATAATTTTCTACAGCTGCTTAAAATGAGTACAATTCAAGATAGTGTTTCTCTCATCTGTTTATTGCAATTGATGGCTTCCCAGCCTTTGCTTTTAATGGATCCTTCTTCTCTAATGGACCTGTAGCCTTTTTGGTATCTTCACACATGTCCCTGGTATTCCATGTCAAGGCACATCTGGGTATTCTAACACGTGTAACCAGAAGTCATTGGCAACCCTCCAGTAGTGTCCTGATTTAACTTTGAGCAACTGTTTGTACATTTAAAGCTGTCTTGTTTGATCGCTCGTAATTAATGAGAGCAGGTCACTTGGCTACAATGTTGTTAGAATTGTCATAAACATTAAAAATTAAAACTCAATCATTTAAAAGATATCAAAAAGCACCTCTTCAAACAAAGAATGATGGAAACTTGGAACTTTCTTCCCTAAAAAGCTGGCCTACTGGTTCTATCATTAGGCTATTAATCCAGAGACTCAGATAATGTTCTGGTGACCCAGGTTTAAATCCCTCCATAGCACATGGTGGAATTTGAATCCAATAAAAATCTGGAAATAAGTGTCTAATGGAACGGATGTTGATTGTTAGAAAAACACACCCAGTTCACTATGTCCTCTGATGAAAGAAATCTGCCATCCTTACCTGGTCTGGGTTACATGCAATTCCAAACACACAACAAACAGGCCTCTTGTCAATTTGGAATGGGAAATAAATGGCGGCCTAGCCAGTGATGCCCACATCTCAAAGAAAAAAAAATTTGTAATATCTTGATGTCAGTCAATAACAAGATGAAACACATGGAAGTTCACCAGATGAAGTCATAGTTTAAATCTATTGCTTATGCAAATTTGGTGGATAACTGGCTTGAAATTGTGGTGTTTGATTTACAATCTCAATTGCTGTTCGACTACCTTCCCTCACAGCAAAAGGGATGTGTGCGACTTGACAGGATTACGGAGCCATACTCAAGAAAAGAAATTGTATCATTTGGTAATGATAGATTTTCCTGAAAGAGTGTGAAAGCCAAAAGTTACAACCAGGTTCAATTTCACCCGAGATAACAAAGTGTAGAGCTGGATGAACACAGC